AGTATTCCTGTGTCGTTGGATAATTTTCACAATTCTGTCATCTTTTATTTTTTATTAACGGCCTCCAAGTTGGTTTCTTTTAGCTTTCAACATTGTGGCGCCAATACGTTCATAAAAAGTGATAAACAGACTGGTTGAACAAGCCTCTTGGTCAATTCTTATTCTCATTTAACCATTCAGGATAAAGGCAATATTATAAGTAACTAGTTGTTCAAAACGCAATGCACTTTTATGTTTATAACCTTTTACATGGTTAAACAACGTATATGAATTTACAATATATACAACATATACCAAAATGGTTGCAAAATCAGATGAATTCCAATGGTGAAATAAGATCACAGGATAGACAGACATCATCATCCATTGCGAAACATTTGATTGAGACGGGTCATAAGGTTGATATCAAATCATCATTTGTTGTGTTGTACAAAAGCCTTCAAGGACGTATACTAAGGTTTATTGAAGCCTTGGCTATACGAAAATTGAAACCCCCTTTATGTGTTCAAAAACAATTTGTACTTACACTTAACCTACCCTGGTAGTACTGATTTACTGTCCGGAGTGGTAATCACATTTGTTTTTGTGTACTTTAATATTTTTTCCTTTGTTATGACTTACCCTTAACCTGTCTAGTTGACCTTTTAATTTTTCATATATAAATGTTCTTAACAAGTATATGTGTGATCAGATTGTTCGAAATGTATTGCGCAAATATATCACATAATTCTGATAAACTACGTCTTCTCATTGCATTATCGGAATTTACAATACATTTACAAGCTTACATGAACCATACAGTGAGTGGTAGATTCGGCTTTGTAATACTGTCATTCACACTTGTCCATCGTCTGAAGCAGAAGACAACGAACAATCGTTTAGAACAAAATTTCATTTCAATAGCTTACATGGAATAATAACTGTAACTACCAAATATGCTATCATCTATACCGATAATAAATAGTATTTCTAATGATTTCATGCAACCGAAGTATTTTTAAAGTCGAGAAGTCCGGTTGTAACTTTATCACGTGTGCTCATTAATATTCATTCCAAACCTAGTCAATGAAACAAGAAGATTTAAAGTTTTAAAATTAGTTAATGTTAACCAAAATACATATTACTATACATATATCAATATATACTTCGGGATTAAGACCAACACAGTGTTAAAGGTAAGGGTAGTTTAAGGAAACGAGTGTCGGTTCATGTATTATATTTTGAGAGAATGTGCTTAACTTTGAATATATAGACCGCGAATAGGTTATTTGATTTATATTTCCGTGAAATTACGCAATAAATCAAACGACTGGTGCTTTATGCTGGTGAATGCCCCTACTTTACTTTTACTTTTCTGCATGAAACCACGCATATATATGTCTAGAGAATTGTCAGTGGTAGTGATCAAATTAAGGAGACAATAATAGAACCGGCAAATTGGAACGAGTTACACTCGTAGTTTATCTTTCTTAACTCGACATTTGATGTGCTTAAATTGTTATACGGTTAGATTTTTCGGTTGGTGTATATAGAAATTACCAGTAACATACTTATGAATAATGGGACACCAGACAATCAACTCATTTAACTGAGCCCATGTAAGAATTGTTTATAGCCCGACAATTCATCAGCTTTTTTCTAAGAGTATAGAAATCCCGCACATGATTGGGAGCAAACGTTGGCTAAGTTACCTGTAATGGTCTGTAAAAGTTTGCAAGGTCTGTTACTTTGTGGTTAAATTAAGGGCCACAAGAAAAAATCCTTCAACTTAAAAATATTTGTCAGAATAAGGTTTTCGGGTCACTACATTCTTGCAGTCTCCTTATATATTGAAGGACTTTAATTAAGTACTTCTACACAATATATATAACGTTGAACGCAAAAAGTTCTATTACCCCTCATTATAATTTACTTATCATATATACTTGGAATTATAGCACATCTTTCGACGTATAGGGTTAAAGTATGCTTGGTACTCAAATCACCACGTGACTTTTTTGTTTCATATCTAAGGACAATGTCCTAAATAAGTTAAAAACCGTAGATAAATTATTATTGCCATCCAATAGACTAACTAAAATGATCGATATTGAAATCGAGTGATAAAGCCGACATTTTAAACATATCAAATAGCCTTAGCCTAATAAGATAAAAAGTAAAGTTGGGCATAATTTTTGAACAAATTTTCGGGCGACACAGTGATTTGAGTTGACGGAATGCATTAGGACACTAAATTTGTATCTAAACAATCCCGTTCATCAAACGATTTTAAAAGTTGCTCCATTATTACTACGTTGGTTACCTTGGAGTTTAAATATGAATATTCTGGCTAATTTAAGCTCTTTATTCTACCTACTAAACAAACATTACTGTACGAAAACATTTGTGAGGAAGTTTCAGATGATGTGAAAAGTTTTTAAAGATTGAGAATTGAGTGAACTACATTTTGCCATAAGATTTCGTGCATCTGAAGCCTTAAATTTTGAGCCAGCATACAAATTCTACAGGACAACTTCAATATTGTAAATTCATTGCCAGTCAGTTGAACGTATTTTTCAAGTATCATCAGAAATGCAGGAATTGAAACCAAAGAGCTCATATTGTGTTAGAAACACCTAGACTTTGGAAACTTTTAAAACCGCTTTAGAATGAAGAAGATATGAGAGGAGTACTGAAGCATAGAGTATGTAGTCGACAACCAATAAAGTAAATGTGTTACCATGTCTGAAATTTGGTAAACTTAAATCTCCAACAATAGTCCTGACCCGAACTTCATTCAGTGGGTTAGGTTGTGATACAGCCTGTCTAAACCATTGTTTTTCAAAGTACTGGAGATCTGTTGAGAATGCCGGCTATATAGCGTTTCATAAACTTCATGATTGATTTATTTTCTAAAGTTATTTGCTGTCTGAATAATTATATTACTTTCTTATAAATGGCACCGTTTGACGAATAAAATAAAGTTGTTCTTAATCAACGACAGCCATGATGTTATTATCTTGAATGCGTGAAGTTATTTTACATGAAGTTTGACACGAAATAATTTCACATAGTTCACACAAAAATGGAAAGTACAAGTCTCTGCTGTACTACTGGCTCTGCTAGTTCCAATGCATTAAATGAAATCGGTAAGTTTTCTCTGGTAAAGGATACTTAACTGTGGTTGGTTAACTGAAAGAAAGCAATAATCTCGGAAACCGGTTCAAGACCTCCACGGAAAGGTCACGTGAGACTTTGATGTTAACTGGACATGTACCTTTCACTTGGTCATTGCTTCTTGCTATATTTTGTTACGTATTGTTGCTTCAGATCACTAAATTGTGTTACTAGAATAGTTCCAAACCACATTTTCATTTGAACACTCAACGTTTCAGTATAGTGACTGTAATCAGACTTCCAGGAATTAGGTTGGATAGTAAAAGAGATAACGATATTCTAGTTTGCTCTTCTTCATTGAAAGATGTAACAGAAGTATGAGACTTGATAAATGGGAAAAACACATCTTACTTATGTCACATTTATCTGTGTTACTATCTATAATTGAGTGTCTTTCCGAACAGACTTAATGCACAAATTACCGATAGATAAACGGTAAGTGAATTTGAATGAGTGGTCTTAGGAGAACGCAATCTGCAAATCAATATATTTTAAATAGATGATGCTATACTAAAAGTACGACTGACAAAGAAAACGACAGTGAATCTAGTCAAGTCTGTGTGTCCTTAATTTGGGGTTAGTCAAGAATAATAAAGGGTTGTTTTATTTCATATATATCAAAAGACAATTAATAAAACTACTGAAAGTTTAGACACCAGTGATAATATTAATATTTTGTCCAATAAATATTTACCAATATATACTGATCTTATTTCTCAGTACGTGACAGGCAACTTGGAACAATTTGACAATGGATTATTATGGGACCACTGTAGCAAATCTCGTTTTTCCATATCATTAAAAATCATTCTGCGTTGAGTGAAAGGGCTATAAGCAGAAGGGCTTCTGATAGTTTGTTGTGCTTTCATTTTTGTTCTTTTGATTTCCGTATTATTTCTGTTCTGTAGCTCCTGACGTTTTTTACACCAGAGTGTTTCTAATGTGTGGATATTTGTCATTCGGACAGGTGCAAAATGTATAGACGTTTCGGATACATTTTTAAAATATGGAGAAAAACAAGGGGTATGACAACAAGAACCTGAATTTGAACGGCGTCTTATTAGTTGTGGGATAATCAAGTCCAAATCTTTCTCTGTAATCGTAGTGATCCTCGACTGGAATGGGCATGAAACATTTACTTGATTTGATGAGAAAGACTTCGTCAATTTTAGATTTAAAGGAATAGGAGGTAGATTTAGTAAATCCACATAGACATCTCGAAGTTGGGTTCGTTTATTTTTTTGTACTAAAATACTTCCGTTCTTGTTGAGTACGAGGCGGTTTTCAGCAGTGCTAGGGAATCGGCCGTTGTGCTTTGAATTACAGCAGGAAGTATGAATTGTTGGGTTGGGACTTTGTGATGCGGACTTGCATCGAATTGGTCTGAATTTAATTTTTCTTGGTGGTAGAGGAAGATTTACAATAGTTTGGTTCTTTTTTATTTCTTTGAGTAACCTTCCTTTATGAATACGTGAAATGCTGTTTAGATACGATTGCTTTTCTCTTGGGCACAAATCTAAATGAGGAAGTTTTTGTCGTATTGAACCCTTCTTCAACTTGCCAGGATTTAGAGCAGTAATATCCTTTCTATTAGTTTTAGCCTCTGTCATTACTTCTACATACTAACGGTGAAAGTTTAAACAACCTACCGAATGACCATAACCTTTAGAAACGACGATTTAAACAATTATTTAAATAATATTATTACTAAGTGTGAAATTTTCGACTAAAAATTTGAAATACTTCGTTTCACAGGTCTGAAACGTAATTCTCGGTTTTTTAATGCACCTAGCTGTTGGAGTTACATTTGGCCACAATTCAGTTTATCTTTTTGTTACTGCGCAATGTCTGAAGAACAGTTTGTGATTTTTTTGCTCAAAAATCATTTTCAGAGTTAAAGTTGCAGTTCGTATTAGGCCTTTCAACACACGGGAGAGAGAGAGGAATGCAGAGTTGATAGTTTCCATGAATGGTAGCACAACAACGATTAGGCATCCAGAAAGTTAGTAAACATAAATATTTATGGTTAAGCAATATTGGAATATAAATCTAGTGGCTTAAATTTTTCTGAAATTTTATGTCAAATTCTCGTGTGTCATATAAGTTGTATCTTGAGAGCATTTTTTCGTGAATCGAATTTTTTTAATGAATATATAAATCACGCTGCAACATACTATTTACAAGTACACGCCGGCTGAATTTTTACACCCACAAGCTGTAAGTTAGTTTATAAAAAATTTGTAATCCAGAACTTCCCAGATGAAACAAATAGCAGTAGTTATTTAGTTGTCACTTAACAAATAACGCATTATCATAGTCTTGTTTTATTTTTGGCAATGACATCGAAATTCTAGGTGATTGGTTTCTATCGTAAATGAGAAAAAATTGTTTAGGGAATTTAGATCACTCAGAAACATTAATGTTATTATAAGCATACATCTTTAAGAAAACGTTTACTTTTGTATACTTCCAACTCCATGAGTTATACACCTTAATTTTTTTTAGTTGCACAGCCGCAAGGTTCGTATGAAATTAGCTTGTGTTCTCTAGGAATAAAACGAATTTTCCACACAACTAGTAATTTTATACCTATTAATTCTAATTAAATATGTCTTGTTGAATTTATTTACATGATACGGTGCAAGTAATATTCTACCTTTGTTCTGCTTAGAGGATGTCTATCGAATTCATCCGTACATGTGACAGTCTGTGTAGCATTGAGGATACCATAAATGATTGTGTGCTTCATTTGCCGCCTTCTAGATACTTTGTTTGGTGGTTCACTGTTAGGCTTCAGTACCAGTCTGAAACATAAGGGACGACACCCGAGGCCGTAATTATTTCAAGGCTCCGTTCTTCTTATGACGAGATATCGTAGGATTAAGCAATAATGATGATGGGCTTGATTTTTGGCTTTTTGTTTCTTCAATGCGTTATCATAGAGCAAATGTAGCAACACCGTCAATTGCATTTTGCCTGAACAAGATGTCAGGTGGATTCGTTACTAAACCTCCTTTAGGAGTAAACATCTGGTACTATCAAATCGTTTATAATGTTGATGCTGTAATATCTCACCTGCCAAGTATATGGAATCGGATTAAACTGACTCGAAAACATCTATTGTCCTGTGCATTTGTCTGCAGTTATGTCCAACCTGGAAATGTCATTTGCAACAAGAGTCGCTGATAACTTACATCACAAACTGTGTACTAAAGGCCGATATTCGACAAATTAGAAGCGATCGAAAACTTCCGCTACCTGACCACAATAGCAATCGTTTGAGCAGTTAAAGCTATGAAAAAATTTCTGGATGCCAATAAGAATGATTGTTAACATTGGTACTTTTATCTGCCATCCCTGTCATTAAGTTGAATCAAGCACAATATATGTATACACTAGTCAGTAAAATGCAAAGCAAAGAGATTCAAGTAAAATGAATGCATAGGCTCTAGAAAACAACATTTAGGTGCAAATAACTAGAACAAATAGTCTTAGTACTGTGAATCCATTGACATGAAATGTAACGCCATAAATTGGAATGAAAATACGTTCTGAGGTTATTCAGGTTCGTTTTGTTATTGAACTATTGGGTCGCCTCAGAGAATAAAACTTAAGCCAGAATTCACAGTATATAGTCCATTATCGACCTGTTAAATAGGTCTTTAACTGTTATCTCAGTATGAAGGCATGTGAACTTGTAAGTGTTTTTAACAGGATAAATTCTGTTCTGCTCTTATCAGCCAGATTTCGCTTGTGGTATAGGGGTTAATCCTACTTATTTCCCGTTTTTAATAGAAAGTGCATTTTGATATACATTAAATGCTCGTAAACAAAAGTGAGTCGATCTGTTTATTTGTGATAAGAGTAATAAGAAAGTCCTGTCTTACATAATAATACGTCATTTTTCAGTTTCTATGAATTTGCTAACTTATGAATAAATCGTTCAATATACGCCAGACACTTGTCAAAATACTATTCTTTCTGGTTCAAAAGTTATGTTAGACTAAAAAAGATGCTCTTTTTTAAAGCGTAATAACTCAAAATTTTATTTTGCATATGTTGATTGAGCAGAAGATAAATTAGCCAGAAAGGTCACTATGTTTTAAGCTGTGTATAGTGCGAAAATGTTTAAAAGGGTCAGTGATGAAAGTAAGCTGTTAGAAAACATTCTTTTGTTAGGTTCCTTACTTTAATTTAATTCAAGCCTTGATATACTTGATTTTTTAAAAGTTTACCTGATAATGTGTACTCTATTTAAAAAGATCAAGGAGTGTTATGTTATAGCCAACGTAACTGATTTATAGTGTTTCTTGTTGTTGGCTATCAAGATGAGATGTACTTATAACAAAGCCAGTAGTTTGGTAAAGAATAGTTTATATGAAATCTGAAAGATGCTTGACATGCACAGTTTAGATAATACCCCGAAATGATAAGTACACAGTATTTGACTTACGTTTTCAGGCAGAGAGAAAACGTGGTCTAATGATGTAGTAGGTTCTTCAGAACAGCCGTCATTACAAGTCGCCAATCTAGGAAAATATAACATACCTAATAAATAGCAGAATGAGGATTTTGGTGGTTTCAGGTTTTAAGATAAATAAGTGTGAAATGTATCCAAATCCTTTACTTAAAGAAAAAAATATTTGGTTTAAACGAGAAAACATGTTTTCATAAACTATTTACGAATTTATGTGTAGCTAGCACAATGGTTTGAATTTGAAAAAAGTGTTTCTAATCGGTAAAAAAGCTATGTTACATAAAACATAAAACACTGACTGTTTGGTAAGTAATAAGATATCTAATTTGGAGTTCAATAATATTAAGATTATTTTGTTCCAAGGAGATGTTGCGAAATTAAAAATTTGGAGTCATTAATTATTAACTTATTTGTTTATAGGGTTTGCATAGGCATGAATTTTGTTTCCGATATTCATGTCTCTTTGAGTTTTGCAGAAACGTATCCACAGCAGAAACTGTGCACTACATATTACTTTAAGAATTAGTCTTCCAGACGACAAAATAACAGTAAATTTGTAACGTTGAGAGAAAGATATGTGGCAGCTACTATTGTTAACTTCATATTTTTCGTCAGAGAAACATTAGATATCAAGAATATAGAAGGGATTTTACACATACAATTGTACTGACCAAATATTTATTCGTTTGCTTTGTTGTAGATCAAAAGGATATTAAGCAATTTACATTCGATCATTCATACTGGTGAGTTCCTTTAAACTAATAAAGCCTTACATGCTGAAAATATAACGACTACCATCCTAAAACACTATTATAATATGTATCCTGTCATCCATATGCTATTTTAAAATGGCATCAGCTGAAGTTCTGAGTTTTATGCACCTTATTTTTCAAATTAGCAACAATTTCTTCGCAAATTTCCCGTCGAGGTAATTTATGAATCAAGTCTGATCAGACAGCTTGTTTTTATTTTTTTAATATCACCTCTTCTGTTGCACCGACCCGGTTATTTCAACAAACTGGCGCAGATTCTTTATACACTGAAAAAATATTCATACATTGTCGCCCTATTCAGGTTATCTAGTCAAATACGGAAAATATCTGCTATTGCAGGAAGTACAGAGTATAAATTTATCTTAAAATTCTTCAGTTTATTGGAATATGTGACTTCACAGCATAAATGTATAACAACAAGTGAAACTGCCAAGTTGTGGGTTTCTATCACTGATTGATGACATAACCTAAAAACATCATAACCAGTACTTTATTCGAAAATTCTGAAGACTTTATTGTCACCTCCAATAACATCAGAATCACTTTTAAAACAGAAAATAGAATAGATAAGAATTTCTGGTTATATCGCCTAGAAGACCAGAAGTTAATGCTTTGAATTCCAAACAAAGCACAACTACTCTTGTAAATGCTTCATATAGGTTTCACTATGAATCTTATGCTCTTACAAAAATGCTACCCCAGAAGCTCAGAATAGGTTACAAAGCTACTTCAATATAATTTTTTAAAAACATATTTGTTGTAGAGACAATATTAGTTCTTCAGATGACCTCTCACTTTCTCATGGTACTGTAGAATTTAAATAACTTAACCGTCCATGATAAGCTAAAAGCTATTTCGTAGCCAATTTGTGATATCTGGTAAGCATAGATAGATAACAATTCATCTACTAACTGAAACTATCTAAATCTTATCAAATTATTGTTCAAGTGGTCCCAATCAGTCATCATTTTTCTAGCGACAACGTTTATTAGTTTCGGCTAAATGAGCTAAAAGCTATCACCAGGTTAGTTTATCTGATCCCTATTAGTAATTCTGAAGTATGAGTACAACACGTTGAATTTCTGATTCAAAAACACTTTTCACTGGTCAAGTATTTTTGAGATAATACAGGAACCCAGTCCACATTATGACGAGTAATTAAACTGGCAAACATAAATGTCAGAGTTTGCCAGTGTCCTTCAATCTTTTATCAGATGGTTTGGTGGCTAACACATCTAAAATAAGAACTAGCCATTGTGGAAAAAGCTTCATGTAATGAGCTTAATGTAAGTAGTAAAAGGGTCGTACTTTAGGTTTTTGTCATTCAACATTACGCAGATTATATTTACTTGTAACTATTAAGTGAACTGGTTTCATCATGGTGTGTTAACTAATTGCATTTTGACATGAATGTTATATTTACTCTGGATTTTCCTTTCTATAGTATTCGTAAGACATCCAGGTTCAAGCGTTCTTTATGAGTCTTCATGTAAAAGTAAATATTACGCAAATCTAGGAAGTTTATACATAGCATATTTGAAATTATTTACACATACGCATACAAAACGTTTCACTGTCCTAGGTCACACGATGGTTTTAAAACTGAAACTGATGGCGTGCTGGTACCGGATGGGGAAAATTCAATATATGTTAGTCAACGGCATGTCTTTGATGATTTGGGTCGTGGTTTACTTGAAAATGCGTTCAGTGGATATTCATGTTCATTATTCGCCTATGGACAAACTGGTTCTGGAAAGTCCTATTCCATGATTGGCTATGGACCTAATAGGTAAAATATATCGTTTAGTAATTAAATTTATTGACTAGAGGCATTGTACCAATCATATGCGAGCAGCTATTTGATAGAATTGGCAAGAACAACGATCCTAATAAGGTGAATGTTTATAATGAATATTTAAATATCCATTTATTACATACTTTTTGCTGAATGTTTGGTAAGCCAAATATTATTCAGATTCTCACTCGAAATGCTGAAAGTTTCTTGAGTACTTTTGTTTAGCACAACGAACCGTAAAAAGTTAAAAATAACTCGTAACTTGATCTAGCGTATGGTAATTTCCGATGTTAATAACTGGGTCAAATCAACCCAATATCAGCAACATAGAGTTCCATAGTAATCAAAAGACTCAATGTCATTAGCTCTCAGTTTGAGCGAAGTTAGCATTTAATCGTGATCATATAATCTGTTAAATCTGAGTTCAGTTATATGTTTTCATTCGGAACAAAATTAAAATTTATTCTTTTGTCTATTGCATTAACTGTTTGCCACATTAAAAAATACTTTAAGGTTTGTATTTTTTAAACTGAATAGAAATTCCAAGTTACTTTGACGATGATGGAAATATACAATGAACAAATTCGTGATTTGTTAACAAGAGATAAATCGTCTCAAACGAATTTACAAATTAGACAATCACCAGCCCAAGGATTCTATGTGCAAGGTTTAACACAGGTACCAGTTGGATCGTATGGTGAAATTGAACAAAGAATGAATCAGGGTAGATTAATCTGTAGTTTAGATATGTATAAGTTAGCCACATTTTTTACGGTGACACATGCATTTTCAACATTTTTTTATGTTCATTCTGTTAGTGATGATAAAAAGGATTCTAAAGTAGATTTATTTCGATAATTTGGACAGTAAATTAGTCGATTGTATCAAGTGATGGCGTTTTAGTGTTATGTTGGATAGGAAGTCATGTAAAGGTATAACTTCATGGGTCTTGACAAGTTAATGGGTATTAATCAAGTTCATTTTAATTTTTTATAATTGAAGAACAGAATCCAACTTTCATTCACTATTGTCGTCACTCTGTAGTATTTAGAAGTATCGATTCCGTTTACTCAAGTTTAAAATAATAATATTGTGAGAACTAGAACAAAACGTTTGAGGAAATAATGGTGCTTAGAAATTTCACATCATGGATTGACTTTAGTCAGACAACCACTGAAAACCATGAAGCACTCTAGAGATGTTTCGTTCTAGTATGGAAGTCCACAGCAGCAACCATCTCCACAATCCGCATACTGGAAAATATTGTATTGAGTTGTATAGTCCTCAAATACTATTGGTCTATACTACTATGTCCATAAGGATTGGTAAATATCTTCTCTCATGATCCTCAATGCTAAACAAATGTAGCTCTGTTCTAGCATGTGGTAAATGATCTTATTTGATTAAATTATTCCTATTAGTTTCAAACTATCCTCCTACACTGAGGATTCCAACCCAGCCGACTAAGTCTTGATATTCAAAAGAATTATATGGTGAAATTATTTCATTCATGTCCAAGGAAGAATTCATATATTATTTCACTAGTCTCCAATCTCTTTATTCTTCTTATATATCTCTTCTCTACTACCTTCGGAATAAGATTTAGGTTTTCCACACATTTCACCCCATAGTTCTACATAATTTATAATAATTATTTTGCAAAACTAACCAATTTCGAATAAAAATCTGCATAATAAAGTCAATCTTGGTAATGATGTAACTTTGAACATTATCTGAGTAAAGTCATTCAGAGAATACTGTTTATATAATTGTAGAAATATGAAACGTTTAGGTTTAATTATCAAGTGTGTATTATTAAAATGAGTAGCTAGCAAATAATTTTGTTACTAAGGTATTTATATTGTAAGAAGGAACACTACTAAACTTATTATTTTTGATCACAAACGTGAAACAATGTGAAATAATCCAGCTTATTTCCTTATCACCGTTCAGCTTCTTAGCACTTATTTCATTTTAGATTCCTTAATTAAGGCGTGTACATTAGTGATTTACTGAGATTTTTTAAAATTTTAGTCACTTTTACGTACTGGTGTGTAAGTACTACATTCAAACAAGTGAAGAGATATTCATAATTTCTTATAGTCGCTAATAAGTCTATAATGTTCTTTTGATACAAGTTTATTAGCAAGTCAAACAAATTAATGTACGATTAAAAAAATTAAATGTAATGATCAACAAATTTTGTCAGTCATTCCGTTTCAACATTTAATAGTTTGTGATATGAACATACAACTTTCCAGCCTTATCACATTTAGACCAGCATTTAATAACCGCCATTCAAAACAAGCAATAACTTGCAGTAGTGTTCCATTTATTAGTTATAGAGACCGTAAAAGCAAGCTCGTAAGCTACTTCAACCAAAACTTTAAGCTATTTTATCAATAAATAACATTCATTGTACAAGTGGCTTTTATAAATTTTATAATTTAATATGAATTGTCTAGTGACTAAATCTATAGAGCTTTATGATTAGATAAAGATCCCAAGTCAAAAAGCATCAACTATTAGGTTTTAGTGAGACTGAGTCGTGTGGATTTCATATTTGACTGCTAGTTACTTCCAAAGTATTAAACTAGCATTCAATAATGTTATCAGCACTTAACTACGAGTGGGTAATTTCCAAACTTCTAGTGAGATGTGACTAGTCGAGTATATTCATGTCGAGTGTGAGAGGAATATTACCAGTGAAAATGAATGATGGTCATACAACATTGTGAAATGGTTGAAATTATAAATGTAAACTACAGAATGTCAACCAAGAGGTCAATGTGAGACCTGAAGATTATGAGTTCGATTTCCCGTGGGTTGTGGATGCGCACCTCTGATGAGGTCCATATTAAGACTAAGCAACTCAACAAGTTTTCCTGGTTTTCAATGATGTGAAACTTAAAATACACTATAAGCTAACGGTGTTTTCATGCTGTATGGAAAAACTTGACGAAATTTGGTCTCATTATTAGTTATAAAACAAATGGAAGAAATGAATTCATTTTATTTCTATTGTTATAACTGTTGAAAATTTGTGTGGAACAAGGAATTAAACAATTGTATCCCCTAACAACCTAATTTTAAAAACCTTGACATTTGTCATTTTTGTTGAGAAAGTCTCAACAAAATGGCATTTGTTTTTTGTTATACATTTTGTTAAAACAATAAAAATATCTAAATTGGTTTCTCACATATTAATTCAGAATATAGTATTTAGAGGGAACTTATAAGGACTACAATAAATTTTAGATATAAGATAATGGAGAAAAATAGAATATGAGGTGAATGTATCTTCAGTTTCTTATTTTGTGGTCTGAGCGTTGTGCTTGTAGAGTTTTTTATAGATGCTGCACGACAGATTCCTTCTTGGCTGTTCTTTTTTCTTAAGCTTTTGCATTTCGATACTCAGCATCAATACTTCCAGCAAGCTTAGTTCTGCATTTAACTTGCTATGGGCTTCAGTATATTAAAATCTAAAACCTAAACAGTGAAAGCTGACTTGAGTTTCGCCTACGGTGTTGATCTTTGATCAAATGTTGATGTATATAGACATCAAACTGATTCTAATATAAGTCCCTCCTCTTGTATGTGGTCACATCTTTTTTCACAGGAACCACTATCCAAAATGTGTATATGATTCTGATTCATCTGAAAATCCTGATCTCAGCTATGACCGACACCATCAACAGAAGCACAAGAATAGATGCCAACTTGCTGGGTTGAGTCATAACATGTCCACGCCATATTGAAATATGTGTGAACTTTGGTTTAAACAAAGTAGACTAATTTCTCGGACCAGTTCTAAGGTAAATTACTAAATATCAGGTGCCACAGAAAGACCTGACATGGGACGTCAGCGATAAGAATACTAAATATTAGATGATAAACACTAAGGGTATTAAAGCAATGAAACGTCTATATGAGCAGGTTTTTGCTACTTGGCATTTACGTATAACTGATCGCATCTGTGTAAAACCAACCCTTAGTTACTTTGCTATCTTCACGGAGGATAAACGTTGTTCAGGATGAAGAAGGAAGTTATTTGAAAGTGATTTAACTCACCTTTATTTCGACCGAGATTTGAAAAATATGTACAGGATAATCGGTCATCTAAGTGGGAGGTATCGATACTGGGGAACCTTGTTAAGCACTCGTGATTGCTTATTCTGTATACCATATATATTACTTCTGCTTGAAAGAAGAGATAAATGATATTACGAAAAAATAGGCAGCAATATGGATGGAGATCATCTTCAAATAACTAATGACAGTCTTAAAATTGCTTAAAACAACTAACGTTGATTTTAAAGCGGACAAAGTGGATCAGTACATGTCAGTAAATTATGAAAGTTTTCATTTGAAGCTTTGGTCTCGTCGTACAGCAGATCTCAATAAGTCCCTGTAAGTTTATTTCTCAGCTCATATCTCAATATCTGACGTGCTTCGAAATATCTGAGATTATATGTTTTAAATAATCGTCTTTTTAACTAAAAGTTAGATGTAAATATCACAGCAGTGGAAAGAAATAAGGATAGTCCAGTATTAAAACGTTGGTAGTGGAACATGCGAGCAGTTGACCCAAATGACTACAAGGTAATCGTCAAGAGGATAGTAGTGGCATTACTACTTATATATTGTTAAGTAGAACAAGTGCTATTTCTAAATTGTTATCAAGTGGGGATAATTTCTATAAAAACCAGGATATATGTAAGTTTTATTGGTTCCAGTTAATTAGGCATACGATGCAATTTATTTTATATTATATATTTTCAAAAAAATAACACAGTGACGTAAAAAAAGAAACTAAGTAAAATCTTATTAAAAATATGGGAATCGCGTGCTTACAAATATAAAATGTGAGGATTCGGCTGTTGAATACTCGGACATTCTGCATCTCAACATTCACTTGAAACGAACTAAAAATTGGTAATGTTTAAAACTTTTTCTTCCTATGTGTGGTATTTACAAGTAACAGTTACTTCACTTACAGATTTAAGAGGATCAATTTATTGAAGCTGTTTTAATATTTGCTCATTAAATGATGACAAGAAATAAGAATTTTCACTTAGTGTGCATCATCCTAACTAAACGACCACAACGTAAGTGCAGCACCTCGATAAGCCATTCTTTCGAAACCTCATGGAAACGGATAATGTTTACGTGATAAAGCAAACTAACTGAAGATAGAAATTAGGACAACTAATTGCCAACCCAGTAGACTGAATGTTAGGCTGTCAACTCGAGACCTGACAATTCTCAGATTGATCCCCTATGGTGTGGTGGTTGGGAACAGTTGAACAGTTCAATAGTAGAACGAATCACTTGTTCAGTGCTTCCAGACTCACAAAGTTTGTCCAACCAAAGTCAGTCTGTGATTCGAAACTGCAGATTTGGTTCAAGTCAGTGATCTATTTAAGTCATGAAATGAAGCAGTTTAACTGTATCACACGAGACATACACCTGACTCCTATCTGAAGTTATACAAATTAAGACGCATAACACTGTTTGATTTATCTGGCGAATGTTGTGCACTTTGGTATCGAGTGTCGAATGCAGACCAAGGACTGTTGACTGATAGTCATGATAACCCTCAACTGAATCACTACGAGTTGGTAGTCATAAGATCATATACGTTTTCCGAATGATTGTGGAAACATCTCTAATCCGACCTGTTGCACTGATAGAGTGAGAGCTAATGTGTCACTTGAGTTGCTGTTTCAAAATTCCCGTCAGCTTCGGTGTTTTCACCATAAATAACACTGCTTAAGAATGTAAGCGGAAGGTATAAACACATGTGGAGCTCAGCTACCAACACTGAAACGTGTATCAGGTGGAGTTTCTCCTATTCAATATAGTCTATGAAACAAGTCATCATCTGAACTTGTTGATAGCTACGTGAATAGTTTAACGAATCAGTCATTTGGTCAAATGCAACCTAGAAACTGGTACATCTGTACAGTGGTTCAGGTCGACATACACCATTAACACATTGGTCTGAAATTGTCAGAGTAATTTCCCGAGTAGTAGATGTAGTAACAGTACAACTTATTTAAATAAGGCATTGATACTCAAAACTTCATTTTGTCTACAGCTATTACATCTTATATAGTTTCTATAAATAGACCATATTTCTCTACAGGTATCATTAGTGTTACAAGTTGTTCTATGTCAATTACTACAAATTTTTGTAAGATATGTTTGAATATTCGCGTCGTTGATGTTGATGACTGAAATCGATTTCGCTGTTAATCGGTATCGAACTCTGAGTAAAGTACTACAAACGTCGTTTCAATAATGAGAATCACTGCAATTCAAAAATATTATGTACGTCTATGTGTAAAGTAAATTTGGTAATTGGTTTGGAAATTCGTGCACCTTTTGTCGAATTTTTATGCTGATCCATTAAAGTGGAAATTATATTTGTAAGATTCTCAGAGATTGAAATGAGAATGATTTCAACGTTTCGCTGTGAGTTCAGATTAGATCTTCTTTAGTGAAATAATCCGAAATCAGAACTATCAAATATAAATCGACTCACAAAACAACTGTGTACTAAATCTATTGCCTATTCATCTGTTCAAATTTAGATAAAAGTTGTTGCAATATAATTTATTAAACACAAATTGTTTTCAGTAGTTTAATATTATGAGATTTTTTGTTTTATAAATATATATTGCTTTTCTTTTCATAGGTACTGCGCGTAGAACTGTAGCGGCAACAAATATGAATGAAACTAGTAGCAGAGCTCATACTATAATTACAATAACATTTGATCAACTCATTGGTTCTGAAGAGTCTAAAATATCAAGAAAGCGTTCAGTAATAAATTTAGTTGATCTAGCAGGTTAGCTTCACTTAGCTGTCAAATAGTAAGGAATAAAAGTTTAGGATATTTTTAATTAATTAATGAATCTGACAGGTTTAGTTAAACTTAGGAAAAATGATTAAAAAAAAGAATAGATCTAACATGTTTAACAATATAGTTGAAAAAGTACAGTCAGATCTAGACAAATATTTACAAAAATATTTTATCATTTAGTAATTGAAAGTTTCTGCTTTATATTCGACTAAAAATAAGAAACTTTTGTTTATTAAAATAAATTTTATAATATTAAATATAAATTTTGTTTCATTCGTCTGCACGTAGCGAATTCCGACCACTATGACCATCTGAAGACTGTTTGTAAGAATTCATCACTGGTTGAGTGATCACAATGCTTTTTAATTTCATGTAAAATGTAATTTGAGGCACCTGTAAGTTATATACATGAGTGGGAGGCGGAGTTGAGGGGAAGTCTAACCTAAATAATGATTTTAATCAACAAACTTTCCAGCTACTTTTTTGTTTTCCACTTATTGAAATCTAACACTCAACGTCCAACCAATACTTGATTTTATCATATCAAAAAGCCCACTATAGATTAGTGGTTGATGTATCTCCATGATATAATTATATTTATACGTAGCCAAGAGTTACCGAAAAAGACTTTGCCTAACTACATGAAAACTCCAAAGCATCTTGTAAAATATTTATGATCCTTTTTATAGTCTTTAAATTTTGTTTTAATATGGGGGTTTGTACAGAATGCTAAGTTTTACATTTTACATGGTGGATTAACCTTAGGAAACCATTAATATATGGGAAAAACCGGGCGGCTGTTTTGTCTCAGAATGAGACTATTTAGCAGTGCACAACCACAAACGTGATGCGAACTGGACGCAGAACCTTTGGTCTCACGACAAACACCCGGCCATTAAGCCATTTGGTACATAACCAGTGGTACACTTTGTAACTTTAGTCATTTTGTGGTATTGGATAATCATCTTAAGACACTACTGATGGGTAACTGTCTCACATCCAAGGTGGTTGAAGGCCATTGGATAGGGATTCTCATCGGAACTCCGCGAATGATCTTTCAAAATTGCTTTCATATTTTTTATTCTATCATTATAAATTTACAAGTCTTTTTCTGATGAAGAAGAGTTATTGACTTTATTTTACGTACGACTGTTATTCAATTCTTGAAATGAATTCTACTTGAATGAAATAAGTGATCTTTGATTCACGGAAATTGTAATATAAAATCCTGTAGGCTTTGTTTACTCTCCTAAAAACTTGATAAATACTTTTTATTTATCTTTTTCAAACAAAGCACGATCTGTTAAGATTGAAAATATTTTAGTACATTGTTGATAAGTTTACTTATCTCTATACATAAAAATTTCTTCAATACAAATTATCCTTTCTGATGGTAAATAACCTTATAATCTTATTAGAACCACATAAAATAATGTTTATAATTTTTACATGATGAATGTAATCAAGTAAGACCAAGGAAACTAGTTTATTTTTTCAGGTTCTGAACGAGCCGAAAGCACAGGAGCGACTGGAGACCGCTTAAAAGAAGGTGCAAAAATCAATCGATCATTATCAGCATTGGGTAATGTCATATCCGTAAGTAGTAGTTGACAGATCGGGTTAATCTCATTCGAATAAATCTTTATAAGAAATTTAAGATTGTTTTGTTTAACTTTATTTATTTTAAGTATATTTTTGTGTTTCACTGTAGGCATTAGCTGAAAATAAAAAGTCATTCCTTATCGGGATTCAATACTTACTAAACTGCTACAAAACGCTTTAGGTGGGAATAGGTAAGTTTAATTATGTATGATAAATCTATTTATAAGACTTCATGGAATTTATGCGTAGTTTGCGACTAGTTGTTTTCAAAACAATTAACCTTTAAAGTAATATAAGAATTGACCATCAAGAAACACTAGACAACCATTTCCTTTTAGATTTGAACTCCCCTGGCACGTGTAACTACTGTCAAAGAAGATTGAGAAATGTGAAAATATAGTTACACAAATTTTGGGTAAAAGTCAACATACAAAACGAGGAGGAAAATTCAAGAAAAGGCAATACTGTCAAATAAAACACTATCGAGGGATTGGCAGAGCTTTCAGTCTGTTATAGTCATTGTTTATAAATCATAGGTTTAAGGGAGATATTCCTGGTGAAATACTAAAATGACGTCTGGAGAGATCGATTGGAAAAACGCTTAACTGCAAATTACTATAGTTATCATCTATTATACTCTCAAATGAAAGATAAGTTGTCCTAGCTGACCAGTTCACTTGTTTTTGTGGAGGTAGGCTTGTAGGATGTTCATTGAGGCCAAGTTTTCGTCTCATTCGTTATCATCTGCTAGTATGTCTTAGAAAAGGCATACATAAGCAAGTTAATTCACCGATTTCAAAACACATAGTAGACTTATGAAATTCAGACTCTGATACAAAATTTAGTTAAAGATACCAAGAAATGTACACCTTAACTTATTTTACATTACTTTCCATAGTTTAAAACCTGAATTGTACGCCTATAAACGTTTTGCTGGATCTCTTCAGTATGACGTTAGCTTGTAGTTCTGTTTTATCTACTTAATTATGTCTCTTGCCTTTCGTCATCCACTACTACTTCTATAAGGTAATTCTAATTTACTATGTTTACTGTTATTATCATTGCAGAATCTGTTTCTATTTCGATATCTCTATAACTATTCACATATCTTTATTTCAAATTATCGATACTCACAGTTGCACTTGTCACCCTATTAATTATATATTTCTCGTGTTTCATAATTTTCCTTCTTTAATAATTATTTGTTTATTTAAAATGATTTAGTCAAATGTCACATAAGAACTAATCAAATTCTAACAGACACATAATTGTCGATAAACCTGTGTTTTATTATATATATATATTATATTGTAAAGGTTTTTTCAATTGAATCATGCAATCAGTTCCTCCAAATTTATTCACTAGTGTTTCTATCAGTTCGTACAAAACATGAACAAAATACTGAAATAAATATTAAACTTTCTTTGCTGTTCATCAAAGATTGTGATCAGCAATTATCTACTTACTGATATTAATATAAATGTTTCAATTTGTGTTATTTTGTGTCCCATTTTAGCTTTTCTTTTGTAATGCATTTGTTATATAAAAATAGTATCTTATTATTTTATTGTGTTGTTTTGTTTGTAAACACACGTTTAAAACAATTTAGTAAAACCGTTATGATTGCAGCAATATCGCCAGCAGACATTAATTACGATGAAACGTTATCCACGCTACGTTATGCAGATCGAGCGAAACAAATTAAAAATACAGTTTTAATTAATGAAGATCCAATGGAATCACTAATTCGTGAATTAAAAGTAAGCATATCACAAACGTTTATTTGCGTAGTTTAAATCACGAAATGATCATATCTAGAGCATCGCTGAAAACTTGAAAGCATTGCACAGCTGTCTCGATCTAGTACTGAACTCTGTAGCAGTGTCCGCACACGAATCAATCAAATGTGATCAAGATCATTGCCTTCGTGTCCGCGCGCGAACGTCTAACCTCTATAGGATTGAGCCAGTTTCTAATGCTGTCTAACTTAAATCAATACGTGATGTTGTGTGACTACTGTTTAGACATAGATTTACCTGATAAATCCACTGAAATACACTTTAGTAATATGATAGGCACTATAATCCGAAATGTATAATTATTATTGCTTGGAATTTATTAATTTGATTACTAGGAGGTTAATGTAACATTTATTATTTGGAATAGGACATTCGTTGTTTTTTTGTCAGCTGGATTTTACTTTAACAGCTGTTACATAAATGTCTTAATATGATATTTTTGAATTAAACATACGAAATATTACTTCTAGACTTAAAAAATAAAGTTTATAATTAAGTATTGACGATACACTCGGAGATTTTGTACAATGACAACTTCAGTACCAAATTCAAGTGGTATGTACTAATTATTCAGAGTCTATCTGATTTCACTTAAATAACGTAATGGAACTATCGGCTGAAAGATTTGGCCTGATTATGAGGGAAATGAACAATGATTGATGTAATTTCCGAGTAAGCCTAAGGATATTGAATTGGTTCATAAGAATAGTTTTTATGTTCGTTCTAAACTTAATAATTATTTTATTAAATGTAGAAAAATACACACTATTTTTAGTACAAGTATTAAAGCATCGGAAAGTATTCAAAATCAACCAACCGCCAGTTCAATGACCTCCTGTTTGACCATTGACCTTTGAAGAAAAAATATCTGCATTTACACTGAGATGCTATTCCACACAATATTGTAACTTACTGCATTTAATGCCTAATATTTTAGCGAATATTTTAATTTGGAGCCGATACTAAGATTCTTTAGAAATTCAGAATCAAATAATATACATAATATGTATAGGTTTTATGTATAGATAAATACGTTATAATACGTTAAGTAACTAAGAAAACCGACATTGAGATATTAATTTCATTGGGACTTAAATGACATTATAAATATATTCCAATAGTTCATTCTTCATCTGACTTCAAATTATATCTATACCTGTGTTCAATATATTTCACAAAAGAGTGCCATTTTATTGAAAGAAAAAATCACTTTTTTGCCTGAAGTCTTGTTCTTGTTATCGATTCATTTCCAGTTCATGTCAACAATCCAGTCTCGTAAAATTTATCGCCCGGCCACAATGCACCACTGCGTTCATCGTTTCATTAGCAGCTTGTTCATTCAATAACATCTAAATATTCCTATCAATAAATTGGAATATCCTCCTGAACACGATTACTGGACGTGGTCCACATAAATATGGATTTTTTATAAAAGTCATTTTAATATTGAGAACAGTCATTTATTTATTGTTTTGATGACTGCACTGAGAAACACTGAAGTTGTAAAAACATGTTTTTCTTATATTAAAATGAACGTCAGCGAGATTTTATCCATCAGACTTTATTAATAGAATCCACATGAAATTAAGAACCCGAATTAGTTTATAAGATTTATCACTTTCGAACGCTACCGAATATGTTGAGATACGAAAACTAGGACATACAGATGAAGTTATTTTATTAGTCATACTTTATACAGATGGTGGATTACGATTCGAAGTGATACAGTTATTATGTGATCAGCGTTTAGTAGTATTTCACACATTTATGTCATTTCTTAATTATTTGACTCCTGATAAACCGTATCAGCTACTATTGAAAATAGTTTGACAGAGGCTTTCACGCGGTTAATCCTTCCGGTTAAAACCCACTAGCTTAATAGCACCCAATTGTCAGAATTATGAATCTGTAAATCAGAAATCTGAAGTACCGTTTAGTACACAAAAGAAAAAAAAAGAGGCCAAACAAGAATTACATCAAGTTTTCTTTTTACTGATAGACCGTAGCTGATGGATGTATATTTAAATTTTTAACAAACTGATAATACTGCCCATAAAATAAGAATTTAAAGAAAACATTATGATCAGTCCAGGGGTTTTTGTACATCACACTCTTGTTTTTCATTTTCAGGCAGAAAATGAACGTCTAAAGAAAACCTTAAACTCTGCTGAACTACCTTCATCAGTGGTCGTAAAAGGTCTTACACCAAAAGGTAGATTTATTTTATTCCATGACTATATATATAACTGTATGCTTGTTCTTCTATAGAAATAGAAGATCTTAAAAACCAAATGAGAAAAGAAATGATGGAACAGATGGAAACTAACCTGGCTACAATCGAAGCTCAGAATCAAGCTGCATTTGATGAGAAAGTATGTTACTTATGATAACAGTCCTTTCCTTAATTTGCTTTCAAACATAATGTTCGATAACATGTAGTGGTAATCCAATTATTTACTTACTTAAGCCTGTTACCTCTCATGGAGCAATATAGGATGCTCACCAGCTTTCTTTATCCAACCCTTTCTTGGACAATCCTTTCTAGTTCTTTACAGTTGCTATTCATCCTACTCATATCTGCTTCCAATTCACGGCACAGTGTGTTCTTCGACCTTCCACTTTTCAATCTCTCTTCAGGATTCCAAGTTAGCGCTTATCTCGTGACACAGTTTGATGGTTTCCTCAATGTGTGTCCTATCCACTTCCGGCATGTTTTCTTAGTTTCCTCCTCAGCTGGAAGTTGGTTTGTTATCTCCCACAATAAGCTGTCGCTAATGGTATCCGGTCAAAGGACATTGAGTATCTTACGTAGACAATTGTTTATAAATACTTGTACGTTTTTGATGATGGTTGTGGTAGTTCTCCAAGTTTCAGTTCCATACAGTGGGACTGTCTTGACATTGATACTGTAGATTGTTACTTTGATATTGGTTGACAGATATTTTGAGTTGCATATGTTATTCAACTGTAGGAATGCTGTCCTTGTTTTCACAATTCTCGCATTTACGTCTGCATAATGTGCTCCACGTTCATCGATTATGCTATCCACATAAGTGAAACTTTCCACCTCTTCCAGAGTTTCTCCATCAAGTGTGATTGGGTTGGGTAATTCTGTACTGATTGAAAATCGATGACCTATCGTTAAGTTAGTCACGATTAACGTAAAGTTGGTATACATATACACTGGCTTGAATTGCTATACAACATCCGTATCTACCGACATGGCCTGTAGTTAATAAATACATGATATTCAATGAAGTTTCTCTGAAATTAAATCAAAGCACTATATCATTAGCTGCAAATTTAGTTCCTTAACAGATTTGTTTCATTATATTAGCTGAACCACAACCAATAAGCAATAATTTCAAATTATTTAATGTTGTATATACCTTGTGAACCATCTTCAAAACCCCAAGCAATGATTTTTATTAGAATCTTCATATTGTCAAATGTAAGCTGATATCGTACGATTAGTTTTCATTACATTAAGAAATAAGGAATTACACTGGCTGAAGAATTTGATGAATTACATACATTTTGTTGTTTTTTTCTCTAATAACGTTTAAGCTGACAAGTATATTCAGTTTCGAAATATTAAAATATTTGTCGATTATTAAGTGATTGATACATTAGAGAGTGACAACTTGTTTGGAAGTTCAAAAATTATAATGTAGTTTAAATCAAAAGGCTTGATACATTCTTCCTAAAATAATTTATGACATAATTAACAATCATTAGAGAAGTTCATTTTATACAACAATATGAAGCGAGCGTTACTGGGTTCGAGTCACAGAGTGAACATCAACTCTAGGATTCAGGTACATCCAGCTGAGTCCCAAATAGGACGAAACGCGCGTCCTGGTTTCCACTACTAACCACCATCTATCCTTGCTTAAAAAGCTTGTCACTTTAGGCTATATCGAGGCAATCCGCACAGTATGCACATAGGCCGACAAGAGACTGATCAATTGCAGTCTTAAATAACAGTGGGAAGATACAAGTAAAACAACGCCAAGTGAATTTAATATGACATAATATGTGAACGAAGAACATTTCTTTCGGTAGATTTTCTTCAGATTCTACAGTTATATATCCAAATTGATAATCATAAGTGTTTAAGTTTAGGGCAAAGTGCATCGTCTAAAGTTGTAGCATGTGACTTTAGGATTATTAAACAATATATTGATATGACTCTGTGGGATGTTAACTTGGATCAGCTTAATTGAAATTTTAAGATTCGTGATCCGAATAAATATGGGCCAGATAGGGTGAGAGAAATAATGGTGCAATTACAAATTGGATTAAATGTTTAGTAGAAGACTGTAATGTGTAAAAACTTGGTAAGATATAATAAAGTGGAATGAATGCGGAGTGAACCAATACTTATAGTAATACAAGGATATGTGAATAAAGATAACAGATACAATTATATTTGACTAATAAACGTTGTAAGTACAATAGTCAAATTAGGTCATTCGATAGCTAAAATTACCACTGATTAATTGGCCTTGAGGTTGACCAGGGGAGGATAAGCAGTTGGAGATATTTCTTTCGTACATATAGCTCCGGTCTCTTAATCTGAAAGGCTACTGCTTCAGTCGTTTGAAGGACTTTGTGTCTGACAGACTATGGCAAAAAATTGTGAAGGATTGGATTATATTGGCACTATGACCATTTTGTATTAAATGGGCCATTATCGAGCTGTTCACTTTCTTCAGTAGACTTTTGCTTAGCCACGCTGGGAGGTGTTCGTGAGAACGAAAATGCGAATTCATAGAACTTTGACCAATATAACTTGCTGTGCAAGAGCAGTCGAACTGATAAATACAAAATGAGGTGGTCATTCTAGGTAGCTCATCTTTGGGTTCGTAGAAAACGCTTGTTGTATTTCTCCGTAGTTGAATGATTTTTGAATTTTTCTGCGTATTCTCTGAGTTAATATTTCTCTAGCAACGCCCGCTCTGAACTGTAGGTACATGAACAGGGATTTCTTACTCACCATTTGTATTTCACTTATACTAACCTTTGTGATCGTATATTTGTTTATAAGCTCTCCAGGGTATCCGATTTCCCTAAGTGTATTACGCGAGGCGTTTAGTTCTTTCTTTAGTATATCCGTAGGACATACGGCACATAGTTGACGACTATTTTTATCAATTTCCTTTTGTACTGTAAAGGTACAAAGCTAGGAAAATATGTGTACTACTCTGTCCAGGTATTTTTTCTGTTTAAATACCTTCTTATTTATCCATCAACTCTCTTGGTTAAGAGAACGTCCAAAAAGACTATTTTACCTTCGCTCCCTTCTTCAGATGTAAAATTAGTGGTTGGGTGTACTTCATTAATTTACCTAAGAATCTCTTGTTGTAATGCACTCTCTTTACAGAGAATGTACGTATCATTCATATATCGACAGTAAAATGTGAATTTTTGACATAAATTGTTTTAAGTATATAATGTGATCTATATTTTCTTTTACATAATAAATTAAAGTGATTCTTGATGTTTGTTTAATGAATTTTGAGAATTCAACACAAAATTTCATCCATGTTGAAAGTGTAATTAAATGATTTATTCATAGAAAATGTAAAATATTTGTTTCATTGGTCTCTTTTTCCTTCGGTTTAGTTGAGACAAGCTCGATTAGAAATAACTCAGCAAACAGTTGAACTTCCTAAAAAATCAGGTGACTCACGTATTTCGTCAAAATCAAAACCATACTTATCAAATCTGAATGAGGACCCACAACTGTCTGGAATTATTATTCACGTTTTATCTCATAAACAAGTAAGTACTATACTTGATTACTTCCATAGTATTTTTATAATAACTAACTTTTACATAACTCAGTAGTTTCGACAGTATTTCTTCGGCACTCATGGAGATGGATTCAGTAGTTTTGTTTTGCAAAGATTAACTTGAATTTGTAGACATATAATTACCACTATCCCGTCATAAGTAGGATTGGTTTATTAAAATGTAGACATATAAAAGATAGGTTTCAAACGTCAGAATTCATTTCGAAGCATAAGTAGAACAACATGAACTAAGTTAGGAAATGGGGACAGTTTCTTCTATTTGTTAAGGCATTTTTGGTAACTACTAATGCATAAGAGATGTTTAAAAAGCTAGTAAGCTACAAAAGACTGATTTTCACATAAAATAATGATGTTTTGCAAATTAATGATTTTCTAAGTAACTTTTACATAAGTATGTTATTCATTTGTTAACAGAATGATTGATGAAGAATTTAGATAGAACAATCAGAATAACCCTCCTCCACGTGTTTATTTTTCGCAGCATTGTGGGTGAAAAAACACTAGTTCCGTCATTATGTGTCGATATATTATGAAAGCTTAACATTTTTGTTGTGATTTTAAATCCGGCTTGTTATTACGTAATTTATTCGCCAATCGAAATACGACTTATTCACTCTTATACTGTACTAAAACAATGACGTTCGACTGGTATGAGCAGCCTAGCGTTCTTATTGGTCCCTTGCTCGCCTAGCCCGTCCAGTCGAGTCCAGAACGCCAATAACAGATTCCACTATTCGAATCATTTATTTCAGACATACTTAGTTTATATATCAGCCAAACAGACCGCATCACACCATAAAATACGAAATAATATTCATACACAATGAAGCCAAAAAGTGGCTGTGAACGTGGAAGACTATAATCAATAAACTGAACATAACGTAAGAACAATAAGTCGTATAATAATAATCTATAGGTCAAAATAAAGCTTATAATAAGAGGAATATATATATATATATATAACCTAATTACTGAATAGTTATACCATAAGAATATATAGATAATATTAGTTCATTAATAGGTCTCAGAAATTACTCGTAATTTAATCTTCACTAGGATATAATAATTTTGATATAAATATTATTTGCTGTTCTTGTGTACTAACGAGATTTACATCGAATGTTAAATTATCGTAGAATGATTGTATGGTCAACTTATTGTAAAATCTATGTGACTGAAAGCATTGTTTGATGTCTATTGATTTTCAGTGGAATAATTATTAACAGATTACATGCAATCTATCTGTAAAAAAAGTTGTTTTGTAGACTAAATATCCCATTCACTGTTACTTGCATTAATTAAAATTATCATACATGTGTTCATCCTGTCACACTCGGTATTCTATCTTTGGTGTACTATGATGCTGTTTGGCTAACTATATAATCTGTAGAATTAATGCTCATGAAGTTGAGTTTTAATGAATAAAATGTTAACTAACAAATATTAAAGATTAGAAATATTCAGATGATCTTAAATCTGTGTGTTATGCTAAACGTCTTTCATAATCTGATACGATAATATGAAGAATGTTTTCGTAATTGTTTTATACAAATGTAGTGTCTTAGAGTTTGGAAAAGTAGATGAGTATAATATTCATTATTCGGACAAACTATTCTTATTATCAGCTAACATTTCGTTACTTTAGACAGGAATCGGTCGTGAACCGCCAAGTGAATCGCAATCTAACGAAAAATCTAAAATATTTTGGATTCAAATGAAAGGTTTATGTATGGTTGATGAACATGCTTTATTAATAAGACATGGAAAGACTGGTGCAGAAGTAGAACTACGTGCTTTACCCAATGCTGTTCGAATGACAAAAGTAAATGGTGTTACCGTGAAGAATTCTGTTACACTTCATCATAAGGATCGCATATTATTTGGTAAGAATATGGATTTAGTTCATTTATACTTGTTGTTTGAATCTTCTCACTGATGCCAGGGATTGCAATTGGCAAACGTGGGTCTCGACATTGTCATTAAGTAAAAAGGACTATGAGCAGAAATTAATAGTGACTAACAATGTACTCCAGGATGTGCGTTTCTTCCCATTCGAGACTCGTCAGGTAAATGTTTCTGCATCCCATTGTTGGTGTTGACTCTGAGACTCAGATCCAGTACCGTTAGCTTCAAACGCCATTGGAGTGAACATTAACTCTGTGGTGTGGGTAAATCCAGCTGATGAGTCGTAAATACGTAGAAGCGCGCGTTCTTGGTTTCACTGCTCGCCACCATTTACCCCTGCTTATAATATGGGCTTAATTTTCTACATTTTCAGTTTGCCTTACGTTTAAAATTCATTTCTTGGTAAGTGCTAATAACTATAACTACAGGATTGTGCGTAGTTGGGATCAATATGAAAATCATAATTCAAATTACTTCAATCTGCACCTGTTTATTTATTAATTCGTAAGAGTCGTGTAACGATGCTTCAGAAATATAGAAGAAGTTTAGCGAATACGATAAATATTTTCTAAATTTCAATTTATTTAGATCAATGCAGCAGTTATGGTTTGCATTCAAACTATCAAAGAATAGAATGTTTAGGTCGGATAACTCAAATTAAATATTACGTAATGAAGTTAAATACCAACCTTCAGTGATTAAATTTGTTAATTTTGAGTTTAAATTTAATTTGAAATTCAACATTTCAGTCTATAAAGAAAAGGTGGCAGCAGTGTGAAAAATTGCTAGAGAAATAATGAAAAAAATGATCATACGCCAAAAAGTTTTCTAATAATGCTATTGACTTAATTTTCATAGGCTCACATCAACTATACATATTCCATAATCCATTATCAAAAGAATTTGCTGATGAGTCAAAATCTGGTATGGAACCAGAAACAATTGACTGGGAATTCGCACAACGTGAATTAGCTCAAGCTACAGGTTTCGAACAGTTTAGCAATAAACCTAGAAAGAAGGGTAGGTTTTATTGTTTTATCATTAATACCAGAAATTGTTCTCCAGAAATTCTCTTAGGAGAAAGTAGTAATAATTTGAAGTTGTTTGGAATTATAAGCAGTTTTTTGTGGTTGAAATTTACAAAACGTCGTGCTTTCTATCAAATACTTATCTTTATTCAGTCCAAAGGATTTACAATACATAGGTACATGTTTCTGTTAACCAGTTGTGTCATTTAGTGAAATTGACAGTGCACTAAATGGTCAAGTGATACTTAACAAACTAAACTCATCTCATAAATTAGGAAAACAATCTTTATTTCATAATCTAATTATAATAAATGGTATTCAAACTGATGCTAACTGACTCATTTTCGTTTTAATATTAATTGATGATCGGTGAATAATTTGGATGAATCTTATATAGCCTGCCTAACACCACTAGTTAGAAGCAAAACTATCATTTCGGTCAAAAGAATAAACATGTACGCGAAATTAAAGTGTTTATCAACTAAAGAGGTTGTAAGTTGGTGGTTAGAGGTATCTATAGAAACCCCGAATTCAAATTTTGTGCTTTTTGATACTCATCAGGAAGATGTGTATGACGCTTTCTTGCGTATTCGATCCTGTGTCACTTAGCTTGACAGTCAAAGAATTTGCCGCTGAGATATTCGGGCCACAACTGATCTCCTAGAGACCTGGGATTTATTTACAAATGGTTGAGCACTGAATAGTGACCGGTTTCACATATGTCAAATCCCTTTCAATGCTATTCCAGTTCTGTAGACCGAGTTGTAGTTAAAAAGACTTCCTATATGAAAGAGATACTTATTGTTAGTAAAAAGTGTGAATCCGGGTGTTTTTAAATACCTAAACCAAGACGGTTTTAAAAAAGCGTTGTTCTGTCGCAAAAGGCTAAGACATTATTAGTCAAGATTTTAAAAATGCAGATATTTTTTACATCGAAATTTATTTTAGTTCATTGTGGAATTTAGTCTCGATAGATTTTACTACGGAAAGTAAGAATAATATTGTCCGACCGGCCATTTTTTTTAAAAAAAAAACCCCACCCCATAAAAAAAATTTTCCACCCCAAAATTACAATATTTTTCATCCCGTGTTTCGTCCAATGAAATGGCTAGTTTCAAAAATTAGATTTAATTGGTTAGTTATGTCTTGAAAATTGTTATAAATTATCAGTACTTGTCGACGAAGCACAATCTCAATCGTCATTATGGAGCAGAGTAACGTGCCGAGTACAAGCGCTGGTGTTTCTCACGTAACGGAAATGGAGGAAGTCTTTTTGACTACCTTGTTTCTGGTTGCGTTTCCATCGGTTGAAGCGTTAAAGACCACTATCACAAATTTTGAAAGATCGACTTACAGTCATTATGTAGTGAGAGATTCGCATATTGGCAGAGATCAAAAATCCTACATTAAATTTGTGTGTTGGCGAAATGGGCGTATAAGATCTAGCGGTTCGTCACAACGTATTAGACGGAGGAGGTAATTTGGTAAATTGTTTTATAATTTTTTGAACGAAGGGCTTCTATGAACACCCAATGTCCAGCATTTATGTTTTGTAAGATTATAGACGGCTATTGGACTGTTGTACGTGGGAATGTACATCACAATCACGAGTGCAATTCCCTGAGGTACCAGGGTAATTCATGGGTGCGCAGGTTAACGGATGGGGAGTTTGAAACTGTGAGACCGCTGCTGATTTCCGGTACCGCTGCATTCCACATAAAGAATTTTGCTTACCAATCTTATGGCAAATGTCTGACCGCTCAAGATGTCTGCAATATGCGGTACAAAGTGTTCTCACACGCGAACCTTCCTGGTACGGAATTTGCCAATTTATAATGTACACTATAGGTGATTACGGGAAATTGAAAGCTCACATAACATCCTTGGGTGGGCTTTGCGAATACGAATTGGACGATGAGAACTGTCTATCGTATTTCTTCTTCATGACCGCTGAACAAGTGAATTTGGCCGGTCACTTTTGTGACGTAATTGGTTTTGACGGGACGTACAAAACGAATAACGAGAACGTCCATTTATATCAAGTCGTTGCCCTGGATATGAATTTTAAAGCAATACCCATGTGCATTGCCTTTTTAAGTCGCGAAACGTCAACATTAATTTCTGCCTTCCTGCATTTTTTCCAACGGTGTACCAACAGTCGACAACTGGTAGGCATTGTGACCGATGATTCACCTGCAATTGCTGCTGCTATTACGCAGGTGTATCCGGATGCACACCATATTCTGTGTCGCGTACACCTTGTTCGGAATGTGATAAAGAGGGTAAGTGTTTCGTTCATTAACATTAACCCAGTAACCGTTATTGTAGAGGGTGCGATCAGAAATTGTACAACTGTTCTTTCGCCTCATGTTCACTCGAACGGTTGAAAGGTAAATCAAAATCTACATAACATGATTTTGTAGTTTTAACAACGTACTTTCGTTAATCGAAATGTCGGACGGAACGTTTGGCAGATACGTCAGAGACCACCTTCTACCACGGAAACACAAATGGTCCACTGCTTTTCGACCGCCATCCACTCTCTTTGAACTGAGCAATACTAACTTCGTCGAGACCAGTCACCGAGTCTTGAAGATGTATCACCTTAATCGAAAAACACCGGTTCTCAGATCCATTTTCAATGTGCTGCTTCGTACTGGATATTGGATGGAAGCAAGATTACATAAATATTCAATGGATTGTCGGGGGAAAGCCGATATTGGTGAGGAGCCGGAAGTACGTCGACTTCAGGAACGACTGACACCAGTTGCCTGTCAACTACTGAAGCGACACCTTCGCATTCCTATAACGCAGTCTGCATTGACGGAAGATTTATTCACCGCTATGGACGCCACGGGGACGTACTACGTACACGTCGATACTAGCCGGTGCTCGTGTCCATTCTTCATTGAAAACGGATTACCATGCCGTCACATATTGGCTTACTGCACACACAGTAACACCGATGTGAACGTACAGTCAATTTGTGACAGGTGGTTACACTATGATGGTTATCTGACTCATATTGCAGTTGAAAATTATTTCCCAATGCAATTGAGTCAGCCAAGCATGAAGAATGCAGTGATAGCGTTAATCAGGCGAATGTCGGAGGAACAATGCAGTTCACTTCATGACTTCATAGTTCACGGTAGACTACCAACAACGCCAGTAAACTTGCATGTAGAACAGCATTCGTACACCCTTTCAAGAACCTCGACTAACGTAGCAGTGCCGTTTATACAACGAGGAACTGTTGATTTGGATGAAACGCTCAGTAACGATGAGGAGGAAGTAATTTCTATTAACTCCGAAGAGTTAACTGAACGGGACATCGAAAATGAAGAACAGGATGACGAGAATCGACTCTGCGACATCTGTAATCTTGCGCAGCCTCCATGTGAAACCGGTGATGCGGTTGGTTGGGTTTTCTGTAGATGTGAAGCAATGTTTCATACCTTCTGTGCCTACGACCCATCGCCGAACGTACGAGCAGTGCACTGTCCTATCTGTGGCGCCATTACAAACTAATAGTGACGACGTCCGACCGCGAGAACGAGTAAAGGCCCTTTTCAGGGCCACCCACAATTTGATTTCCATTATTTTTTATCTACTACTTTTCCGCGGCAAAGGTCAAGTGATTAAGCACCTATTAATGTCTCATGAATTTAGATATCCCTTAGAGATTAATAATGGAAAAGCGATTGTCGCTCATGTATTCGTAAACTTGTTTCTAACGTTTATTAGATATGAAGGTTAAGAAAACTTAGACAAGATTTTGTCATCTAATAAAGACTAATCTAGTAATTTTATATTTAAAATAATGTGATTACCGTTCATGTTTTAGTAACACATTTGAAATCTATCTAATAATAGTACATTTTGAGTACATTTTAATAGGAATATTTCAATATAGTGAAAATTGTAATTTTGTCGTTAGGTCAATGAATTTATGATGACATTTATTAGTGAATATTATTACAAAGATGAATGTGATTAAAGCTCATAGAGAAGTAACCAAAATTGAGAAAATTAACTTATTTAGGAATAAAATAATGACATTAGAAAACAAGTTGAAACCATCATCGTTGAAATGATTCATGTGATAAAAGGTCATATAGTAAGTGTAAAAAGAAATGCGAATATTAGCTGTTTCATGAATACAAAAAACAAGAATTTCATATTCTTGTTTTATATTAAAAGTTCCTGAAACCAGAACTATGCGTACGTAAGAAGTACGTCTGATCGTAAACTAAGCCTCCATTGTTATTCATAACTACTGATTATATCACCGTATTCATTTGCACACCTCTTCAACTATTTATTACTGGTACAATCACATTGTACCAGTTAAAAATTCCCTTAAAATATTCAAAAATAAAAAATAATTTAGCAAACAATCGTTTTCATTAACTTCATCATCACACTATACAGTTATTAGTCCATAATTTTAATATTTTATAAAGTCCAAAAATAAGGCATGGCATTAATGAACTTGACAATGTAATGTGTTAACAATGGTTAACGTTTACATCTGTAACGATATATATGTTTACAAATTAAAAAGGTCATTCACTAAAGATCGGGATGATTTGCAGTAAAGTGTTCAGTCACAGTAAGTGACTAAGCATAATAGGAAAATTGAAAATGCAAAAAAATTGGTGTCAATGAAATACATAGTACAAGAATTGAATCTTGTAAATTGACATAATAATAATAATAATAATAATAATAATAATAAGGAAATTAAATAATAATAACATTGTAAATGTCCGTTGATACAGTTGACCTTATTCATATTTATACGTTTAAAGTCGATAGATATTTGTTGACTCAGTCCGACGACGTAGGCTTGTTCATTTACACTTCATGAAACTAATACTTCAAATGCTTGTCAAAAATGGTTACATTCATAATGTCTAGATAATTCAGGTTTCATATTACGGCGGTTGACAATATTCACACATGACTGATTAAACACACACTAGTTTTTATTACAACCGAAAAATTAATTTTAAAATACAGAACTACAAATAATTTACAAGTGAAAATAATGAACCGTGTTTCAATGGATTTCCAAATTAACCGCATTGAAATCTAACGTTGTCTAATTCTCATTATGAATGACCATTTACAAAATAATCGTTTACTAAATATTAAGTGTCTATTTCGGAAAATTTATTACTACTTTCATATACTGTCTAAGTCAGTTCATTAAATGATGGTCTATGATTGCTTCACCTGAATTATACATATTGCAACCAGTAAGTTATCATAATGATTTATTGATATGTTGATTTGTTTCTCGAACTAACAGACCATGTGTTACAAAAAAACCTGTGCACACACTTTGGTGATAATTTGTTTATTAATTTGGTATTAAATATTTGACTACTGACCTCATTCAGTAATCCTTATTATCAAATATTCAAACCGGTTTTCGGTGGCTTTTTCCCAAAAACTTTCTTTTACTGAGATACATATAATTATTCGTGTTCAGATAATTAACGACTTCAATTCAAGGTATACTTGATCGGAAAACAAAAATTGATCCCAATACACATTCACTAACAGTAGGATTGCACGGTAATGCAATTAAGTTGGTGTCTTTTTCTTCAAAAGTCTAGATTTTTTTCAAGACTAAGATTACACAAAAAGGATTATTCATTATCATTAAATTTCAAATGTCAAAAATGAAAATTCTGACATCCAATCACAGCTCCAGATGCGATTTCGATTTCAACTAATCAGATTACAAAGATGAACCGTTTACGACCAATCAAAAAATTATTAAAGATAACACAATGTTTGTTCATTATCACTTGAGCACACACTTGAAAAACAAGTCCACCAATCAACGATACCTAAATTTTTCATTCACACCCCACAATTTTTTTAAAAGGGGTGGTAGGGAATCATATAGGCCGGTCACTTAATGTCAACCGGAAAGTAATTATATAACGTTCTGTGTGACCAACGATTCATTGATTATATTTTTCTCTGGTCTACAAATTTTATCAGTATTGTTATAACGGTTGGTTTTCCACGTTTACACGTATAGGAAGTTAATTTACCTTAAACGAATATCTACACTAGATTACCACCCAGTGTCTATTCTACAGGACTTCAACACAACTCAAATCAAGAACACGTGATTAGCCTGATCACAACGTAAATGTTTCCACACCAAAACCCGACACAATCCAACAACAATGAACAATCAATAATAAGTGAGTAATAATAATAAGGATAGGAGAATATATAACTCATCTGACACCTGTCAGACTATCTACATGTCTGACTAAGCAGACAACCGATCATTATCATTCTCGTCCACACATCAAGTATATAATAAACTATTATCAAAAATTTTATTATCACGTTAGGATGCTTTAACGATTTTATTTATGCTTAATTGTCGACAGTATCAAAGTAGATGTTGTTTACTGACGATAATTCTTTTCATTTCTTATTGATAGTTAAAATAAATAAAAGATAAATGGAAATATCAAACAATAAAATTCAATTGATCACTTGTTCTCCAAGGTGTCATATCATTATAAGCATTTGTCTGATTAATATTTTAGTTTGGAATGAAAAAAACATCATCATAAATTATATCATTTCACTAAAACATAGCGAATATTAACAATCTCTTTTAATTAAAGGTTCATATTTTACCGATTACAAATAAAAAAAATACTTGATTGTTAACAAAACTTTTTTTATTTTTAATCTTATGTATTACTGGTTTATTTATATTTTAGAAGAAGCAATATTGCAGCAACAATTACTTGAGCTATTACCAATGGTAAATGAAGTCAACGCTATAGCAGATGAATTGAATAAACAAAGAACATTTGAAGTGATTTTACTGCCACCAACTGCACAAGCTTTAAAATACGGTGAATCAAAGCGTACGAAGTAGGCGTTATCACAGCTTTTCGAAGTTGTTTGACTCATACGTTTTCGGTGTTATGCGTAAGATTTTATTAGTAGATATAATGGTTTTTATAACAATCAATATTTTACAGGTACCGGAGTTGTAATAAATGGTTATGACATTCTATATATTTCTACTTTGATACAGTTTGATCAGAATCCTAGTTTTTGGGCAAATAATGAATTTTTTAGTGAAAATTTCTGACATTAATTATCGCACTCTGAAGGTCACCACGTTGTGCTCTTCAAACTAACCAAAATCTACAGACAGATTGGCACATTTAAATTCTGAGTGCAACTGCAATGTAGATGACTAAATTTCTACTGTAACTTTTCATATCGGTTATCGATGATCAGCGGGAATTTCTAATCATGTTAATATCTATAAAGGGGTATATGTAAGTTTTATGTAAGTCATGGTCATTTTACCTATTTGATCAACGTCGTGGTCCAAGAGTTTACAGCTTATGATTTCTAGCTACAAAAGGGTTTTCATTTTAAGATTTTCACTGTTTGTCAAGTACAGTTCTGATAATAAAATAACCATTAGCTGACATTAAGACGTCTGTGGTTTTCTCCTAATATCTAATGATAGATTATGAGGACTTAAAAATAAATGTACAGAAGGTGGTCATTGATTTGAATGTTATCGAGATATGTGCTCAATATGTTTATGTGCACACTATTTTCGTCCAAATATATGAAGATATAATGTTCTGAGAAACAAATTATCTCTGAATGTAACCACGCTCAAACCTGAGTCAAAACTAGTGATGACGTGATTTCTAGAAATCATTGTTATTAAAAAAAAAATCACTGCACAAATTATCGGTTTGCATATCCACCTCAAAACAGTAATAACTAATAACACCACTTTTAGAATTATAAGTATTATTGAGTAATAGGTTCAAGGAGTGAAGAGACGGGAGTTGTAAAATATTCATTTGTGGGTGTGTGAAATAAACTACAGTTGTCTTAATGCTAATATGGTTATAAAGCCTCATACATTTCAGTTCATAACCTTTTATTATCCCGTCACAACTTCCTTAAAATTCATTAAATATACCCGGACAGTACGAAACACAATTAATAGCTACTTAAAAAAGTTTACGAAATGATAAATGTACTTACTTACAAAGTTAATCAAATGTCATCGGTAAACTGAATGGTATCACGTGTTTTTAAATTCCGTAGAGTTATGGTTCGCATGATTTGTACGAATACAGGTCAAATGTGCTTGTGGGAAAGAGAAAAATTCATGACAAGAAGATTTTTAATGCAGGTAAGGAGTAAAGAATATAAGTATTTTAAAAATATTTAACTGTTAGGTTGTACTGTCATCCGTTTATGCTAATGATATGCTGATATAAGCTCCAAAATCATCTACTTGAGTAAAAAGGGATGAGAGTGAGAAGAAGGGTTGCTTGGCTAAAACTGAGTCGAGAATACATATACGCTCAATGATATGTAAACGTCTTTCTTTCGTTCAAAGTAAAACCATATTATGAATCACTAGTGTGTATCAATATCCTTAGAAAATTAAGCGAAATCTTAGTCAATTGTATGTGCATATCTTTGTTCCATGTCTAACTGATCCCGTGTATCACTATCTAAAATTATTTTTTCTCGGTAAGAGAGTGCAATTTATTCATGCGTTGTCCGTAAAAAAACAATGATACACTATACATAGCATATGAAACAGATTTTCACAACTGGAATTTGATTAATAAAATGTAATCAACATTAAATTGTATTTACTAACTAGAAATTTGTAATTGCAAGTCGTCTTTATTTGACTAAATGCTTATTCGATCACAGTTATCTGTAAATGAAAGATTACCGTGCATATTATTATTACGATACGTTCTGACTGAGTAAAGGAATACGTTATAATTCCAGTCCATGTAAATTGTAATTTTTTCCAGTAGTAAAGCATTCTTAGATATTTCAGAACTTGATTTTGACGTCCGCATACTTATTATGTAAATTATACTAAAGCTTAGAATTCACGATGGTTATATAAGAAAATGAAACCAATCGATGACATCATAGTACAATTAAACAAGCTTGAAGAGGACATGTTGCTTATAAAGCCTCCTTTTTGGGTATAGAACATCTATTTCTAAAGTTAAAATTATTTAGTCACTATCAAAAATTCAGTTAATTATTTTAGATAAGAAACCATTATAGTATCAGGTTAGCAAAACTGTAAGGATTCTATGTACTATCAGGACTAAATACATCAACTATGCATAAGTCTTAATTTGTAAGTCGTTTTCAAGATAGTTACACTAAATAAACTAACTAACAGAAAATAATTAGTGGAGTTTTCATATTAATAAATAGAAAATAAATTTGATGCCGTTTTTGAAGGTGTTGTTTATGAAAATATGTTGAACAAATATTCATATTAAATGTTTTGTAAACACTAATTCCAGATCAGATATTCAAGTGATATCTTACCTCATTGATATACAACATGATCAGTTACGAATTTATCAACCATCAAACATTTAATCTGTTATATATTTACATCAAGACATTACAAATACAAGCTGAGCAAAGAAATATTACTTGTCAATTAACTTCTCTTCAACTGTTTACACGAATATCTATGTTTTGAACAGTTAAGAATAAAATCAACACTAAATAAATGATTCTTGGTTAGTGTAACAATTCATCTCAATATTTACTCTAAAACAGTATTAGGTCTGAAACTTAACGGATTTTAAATTAGATATAAGGATAGGATTAAATAACAGGTTAATTATAACAACTCACTGGATACAAATAAGAAGTCAGTAAGTTCAAAATCGGGCAATCGGATATAACTGTTTATTGTAAAATTAATCATATGTAACTAATAGAACAGGCACAAAGAACATTAGGTAATCAGGTAAGTAGATTATGTAGATCGAAGTTTTAAACTAAAAATGAATAGATTCGAAAATAATTTCTTCATTGAGAAAAGCAATAGTAACTAAAAAAAAGTATATGATAAATTAAAAGGATGAATAAACTTTCTGAACACAAAGAATAAGTTTGCTTATGCACATACCTATTGCTTATGTTTTGTCTAAAAAATGATGCAATTGGATAAATAATTTTGTACATTAAATTTATATTAACATAGTGACTGATATTTAATAAATGTTTATAGCTCATTAAGGTTGTCTATATTTTAACTAATTTCTTAGAAAAGTTTATTGTTATGAAAATGAATGTCTACTTCTTTCTAACACTAGGTTATCTGATTATTTAGTAAAGTCTACTTTTCATCTACAGGAAACGGGGATCTAATGAAAGATGGTTTCAGTTTAAAGAAATCAGTCCCTTTCAATAGTTGGAATCATGAGTCAATTGAAGCTAAATCACCATGGAAAACCTGGAAACACTGGACGGCCGTTTCGTCCTAGTATGTGGCTCCTTAGCAGTGCGCATCCACGATCCCGCCCGTCCCCGCTAGATTTGAATCCGGGACCTACTAGTCTCGCGCACGAGCGCTTAACCACTAGACCACTGAGCCGACATTCAACGGTGTTAATGTGTAACTTCAACCAATCCATGAAATTGCACCACCGACACCATTGTCTTCAGTGAGCTGATATCTTACAACAGACCTGGTTGAACCCCACTGCTCACGGCTTCTCACTAGAACTCCAGGAGTGTCTATTGAAGTCAGTCACTAGTGAGCAGATTATTATTATCAGAACCTAAAATACATGAAAACGATTGTGTCACATCCCACTGTGTTCACTAATTTAAATGTGTGTGTGGTCACACATACATAGGGAGGAGCAGTTGTGATCTCAAAATTAGGAAATTCAACCCAAAATTAGGGTATGTGAACATGTACCAAAATGGTTGCAGAAACAAATACATTCAAGTGACTCAATAAGAGTAGAGGATAAACATCCATCGTCCTCTATTGCTAAACATATAATCTAAACAGGCGATAAAATTGATCTTAACTCGGTTTTTGTTGTGTTGTATACAAGTGTAAAAGGGCATATGCTAAGGTTTATTGAAGCTTTAGCCATACGAAAATTCAAACTCCCTTTGTGTATTAAAGAACAGTTTGTTCGCACCTTAAACCTACTCTGGTAATATTGACTTACTATCCAGAGTGATTAGGTTTCAAATTGTGTTCACATTATTATTATTATTATTATTATTATTATTATTATTATTATTATTATTATCCGTGTTTCCTCTTACTCCATTTCCAGTCTAGTTGACCTTTTATTTTTATACATAAATGTTCTCAACAAGTATATGTGTGATTAGATTGTTCGGAATGTAGTGCTCTAATATATCACATGGTTTCAGTTTATTTTACTTGTCTAGAGCGCTTATTGTTTCCCAGTGAAATTATTTCGTGCACTTCGTCCTACTAAAAATACATCTAGTCAAGAAATATAACATAGAATAGGATAAGAAACAATAGGACACAACACAATAGAATAGAGTAATAACGAAACACACTAGGGTATAATTATATTCCGCAAACAACGTATAATAATTTTGCAGGAATTAAAAACACTTGTTATCTATATGAGTAAGAACAAAGTATGTGATACGCTCACAAATATACATTGAAATGTCATCAAAGTACTTTTTCTACATTGTTTAACAAACAAAGATTTGTAGAATCTGTTAGCATACATTTATCATACAAAGGAATAATTGTTTTCCTTCACGTTTTCTCAGTCAAACACCGGCATACAAATATCAGAATTCTCTATAAATTATTATACAATATGTACTATAATGTTGTCGAGATAAGTAATTGATTATCAATATAATATTGTGTATAGATAACGTTTTATCAATATGATATCACGGTAAAGGGAATAAAATTACGCGTACAATCTCTGATCTTAACATTGTCAAAACCTTCTTTCATATTTTCTTTCTCAGAAAATGTATCGTTTCATAATCCTCTATCATTCTTTCATAATTATTATGATTATCCGATTTCTGGATCATTACATACAGCTTCCTTCCTATCTATGAACTATTAATGATACAACACTACGTTACTGCTGATACGTTTCGAAAAATATGCAGCATCTTGTTTATTTACAAACTATCCAATTCGATTTTTAAGTATCATTATTGATAAATCTTAAAAATAACACAACATCCCTTTATTTTACTGTGGAAAACTATTTGTAAAACGTAGTTATAAACACGATTATACAATTTAGATAAGTGACGTCAGCGGTAATGAAATATTTTACTCTGATTTTCCTTAAATTGTTACTCATTTACGAAAATGTAAACCGTCAATCATTCACCAACATTAGACTCATTTAACGTTTAGCATTAGTTAAATGTACCGCTTGCATAAGGTTACCATGGCTATTTATTTATATCTTTAAACATCAATGACAAATTTTGCCACTCTAAACCCATTAATTAAGTGATAACGAAATTTAAACAACGATGATTGCTTTGATCCCATAAACATCTGGCGATACATCATACAGACATCCTGTAGGATTTTTGTCCGTAATTTGCACATATAAATTCGGTTACAACGATGACAGCAACTCCAGAAGCAAATAGAGAATAGATGCATCTTAGATACCTTTCCGTCAAACAACGAAACTATGAGCTACTCTCATGAACAGTCCAACGCTTACAAACAGTTTCTCAGCCTCATTGTTCCAAATAGACTGGTATAATGTGAATAAACACCATTTATTGAACAAAAGGTAGGCTCTTCACTAGGTTTTTGGAAGTGTGTTTATGATTGGTCTAAGAGGAATAGGCGAAGTAATAAAACAAATCACAAACTCACACCTTAAAAATTTAGTAATCGCAGACTATGCATAATTCAGTTATATGCAGCCAATTTATCCTCGTCTAGAGCATTTAAAAAAACATTTATTGGAAAAGCGATCATAGTCTTTTTGCTAAGTCATACAGTTTTCTACAAATATTACAGTCCATCAAATACACAACTTCTAATTACTTAGTCTGTCATTACTATGTTGAAAGGGTAATGATATTCTACGATAATAACTTACATTTAATGCCACCAATGCACTTATTAGATCTGCACTATTGTAGACAAAGTTGCTATTAAAGTTGGTAAAAGTTTTCAGATCCCACTCAACTAGAAACGAGTCACCTCATCGGTTCAACGTCTTAAACAAGGACACAAGCAAATAACCAATAAAATGAGTATATTACAAAGGAGTTGGGAAATTTAAACTTCTAACCACCATAGCATTCTAACTGACAGTTGCTGTGCTCATATTTTGATAGTTAGATAGTCCATTCATTCATTTGTAAATATTTTAATCAATTTCATAGTTTTTTATAAATAGATGTCAGGGATTACAATCACTGGTATAATAATGTTCACTCTTAATGAAGAATTACTTGAAAATAAATATTTCTTAGTTTAGCCTTAGTGACTTAATTTTATCTTGGTCAAATTATCTTGGTTAAATAAGGTGACATTTTGTTTTGTTTTTTTTCTAACTCGTAATAGGATATGTATCAAAAAAGTTTGAGTAAACAACTAGAGGATTATTTACAAGAATCTGATCCATTTTGGGAACCATTAGAAGATTTATTTATTGGTATAGCACCAGCATTTCTTCGCGCATTAGCTTATCGACTTGATGTGGATGAAGAATTAAAAATTATGGATTTTGTTGGTGATGAGTTGGGAACTATTAATATAAAATTGATACCTTGTTCAGCGTCTAATTCAAAGTCTGCGTTACCAGCAAATAATGCCTCTTCTAACAAAAAGGATGACGTAACGTTTATCGAAGATCCTAGAGAATTAATTGGGAAGCCTTACAGCTTCAAGGTAAGTATCAGCCAGTAACCAATCATTAGAACATTATATTACTTATCAGGATAGACTATATCGTTACAGAATAACTACACATGTTAATTTATGGAAGCATATATGAATTCATTACATTTTGTAAATGTTGTAATTAGATAAACAGAATTTTAATGCGTCGTTAAGCATTTATTTGACACTTAAATTGACATACCAAAAATTCTCATTCCTCACAGCAATTAAATAACTTTAGACTTTGTTCTTTATCTTGTTTTAGGGCAGATATCTCAAAAGTCCACTAAGAAACTGTGATCTGTACAGACAGACAAGTTAAGACTGAAGTCTATTCCCAGTGATAATATATTATGATGATCTTACCTAGTGATTAAGCTCAAAAATATAACCACTTAAATTTAAGGTTGGAATAATGTGAAAATTTTACAAGCGTAAGATTCGTTATTTTTATTGCACTGTATCATTACTATTAAAAATAACAAATATGGGAACAAACCAGTTACGACTAGAATAGAATTTCGTCACCCTTTAATAATTGAATTTCGTTTCTAGAAAATTATTTATCAAAAAAAAGAAAAAATACAATATAAGTCAAGCACTTATTTAATATTTGTCAGTTACCTCACTAACAGATTTAAGAGGATCAATTTATTAAAGCTGTTTTAATATTTGCTCATTAAATGATGACAAGAAATAAGAATTTTCACTTAGTGTGCATCATCCTAACTAAACGACCACAACGTAAGTGCAGCACCTCGATAAGCCATTCTTTCGAAACCTCATGGAAACGGATAATGTTTACGTGATAAAGCAAACTAACTGAAGATAGAAATTAGGACAACTAATTGCCAACCCAGTAGACTGAATGTTAGGCTGTCAACTCGAGACCTGACAATTCTCAGATTGATCCCCTATGGTGTGGTGGTTGGGAACAGTTGAACAGTTCAATAGTAGAACGAATCACTTGTTCAGTGCTTCCAGACTCACAAAGTTTGTCCAACCAAAGTCAGTCTGTGATTCGAAACTGCAGATTTGGTTCAAGTCAGTGATCTATTTAAGTCATGAAATGAAGCAGCTTAACTGTATCACACGAGACATACACCTGACTCCTATCTGAAGTTATACAAATTAAGACGCATAACACTGTTTGATTTATCTAGCGAATGTTGTGCACTTTGGTATCGAGTGTCGAATGCAGACCAAGGACTGTTGACTGATAGTCATGATAACCCTCAACTGAATCACTACGAGTTGGTAGTCATAAGATCATATACGTTTTCCGAATGATTGTGGAAACATCTCTAATCCGACCTGTTGCACTGATAGAGTGAGAGCTAATGTGTCACTTGAGTTGCTGTTTCAAAATTCCCGTCAGCTTCGGTGTTTTCACCATAAATAACACTGCTTAAGAATGTAAGCGGAAGGTATAAACACATGTGGAGCTCAGCTACCAACACTGAAACGTGTATCAGGTGGAGTTTCTCCTATTCAATATAGTCTATGAAACAAGTCATCATCTGAACTTGTTGATAGCTACGTGAATAGTTTAACGAATCAGTCATTTGGTCAAATGCAACCTAGAAACTGGTACATCTGTACAGTGGTTCAGGTCGACATACACCATTAACACATTGGTCTGAAATTGTCAGAGTAATTTCCCGAGTAGTAGATGTAGTAACAGTACAACTTATTTAAATAAGGCATTGATACTCAAAACTTCATTTTGTCTACAGCTATTACATCTTATATAGTTTCTATAAATAGACCATATTTCTCTACAGGTATCATTAGTGTTACAAGTTGTTCTATGTCAATTACTACAAATTTTTGTAAGATATGTTTGAATATTCGCGTCGTTGATGTTGATGACTGAAATCGATTTCGCTGTTAATCGGTATCGAACTCTGAGTAAAGTACTACAAACGTCGTTTCAATAATGAGAATCACTGCAATTCAAAAATATTATGTACGTCTATGTGTAAAGTAAATTTGGTAATTGGTTTGGAAATTCGTGCACCTTTTGTCGAATTTTTATGCTGATCCATTAAAGTGGAAATTATATTTGTAAGATTCTCAGAGATTGAAATGAGAATGATTTCAACGTTTCGCTGTGAGTTCAGATTAGATCTTCTTTAGTGAAATAATCCGAAATCAGAACTATCAAATATAAATCGACTCACAAAACAACTGTGTACTAAATCTATTGCCTATTCATCTGTTCAAATTTAGATAAAAGTTGTTGCAATATAATTGCTGAATTGTGTAGGAACTAAATTAATCAAATGTGACTATGATTTTCATTCATTGGAAATAATAGTAATTTTAATGATTTTGTGCATGTGTTTGTAAGTCTGGTGGTCTAATTGGCATCATGTTTGTTCTTTAATGCATAAATAAAAGAACATGATTAGAATTCACGGACAACATAGCTTACTGACACCGAAAACAGCCCATTGAACTGTTTATTAGTACGCTGTTTTAAAATATTTGCATCGAATGAGCTAGATTGTAATTTATATATTTTTAAGAATAAAGTCATTACCATTGCTTTTAAAAACTACGTTATTAATTTTACCATATCTGCACAAAAAATACTCATTGTCCCTATCAAAATATTTTGTTCCCTTATCATAATACATTAAACTTTTAGAAAAATAATTTTTCATGCATGCAAAACCTGGCCTATTAAGCTTAGTCAAATGCATTGATCGTAGTAGGAGTTTGCTCTGATTTTGACTCTTCATATATATATATATTGTTCGTTGAACTACAAATATGCTATAAAAAAAGAGCATTATTTACAAATAATAGACGAAATTTATACTACTTACTGTGCTTTTTTAGTCATTGATCTACGTACAAACATGGGATTACTTTACCAAATAATTTACAATTTGCATCACTGTACTATTGACAAGGTAGCATTTGCAGATTGATTCTTATTGTTATAATTATATAATGGTCGAGGGTATACAATTTGAAATACTTTTTCTAAAAAAATTTATATTTTCTCACTCGTGAATAATTTTTTCGCCATTATAAAATACCTACTATTGCAACAGATAATGCGCACTCACCACTCATTTTATAGCTGTTTTCTTCTTGATTTTCGTTCAAATCTGAATAATTAAACACAGATTCACTTCGATATTGATTCGTTTTATATAAAAGTCATTTAGCTGTCTATAAAAGTGGATATTAGACAAAATATCTGGATAAAATGAAATATTAAAATATGCACTATTTATAATTAGTAACAAATTTGCATTGCAGTAAATTCCTGTATGCCAACACTTCTTGTCAACAGTCAAAAACTGATCTTCGTTTGAATTCAAAAATGTTTTAAAGAGTTATCTGATGAAGACATAATTTTCCTAGCATACTATTTTATTGGTGTATGACTGTCAGACTGAAAAGCCTCTAGTTTCTGAAAAGAGCAGATATGACCGGAAAGTTTTTAATCCTCATGAAGTCTAAGCTTGAACTTTTTATTATTAGGAATCACAACAACTTATGGGCTTTTTTCATTACAGTGTCGTTGACAAATAATATTACTGGTTAAAATAGATATGAAACATGCTTACTGTGTTGAAATTTTTTTTACACCTGGACAAAATAGTAACCTAGATGTTTACGTAAGCCTGTCTAATTTGTCCTTTTTTTTCAAAAAAAGTCTTTCATATGTTTTTTTCCCAACAGATAATATTAGGTTCGCTGAATTTATATGACTCAGAACAGAATAAACACAAATATACAGTGTATTATCGTATATTTAAAGAATCGGAATTAACAGCAGCCAAGATGGAATCTAATAAATTACATACACGTTTATATTCAATAGATCAAATTACACATGAACATTTAGACTATTTTCATTCAGAATTTATATGTTTCATGATTTATTGTTCACAATTTGAAAAAGATGTTAAAAAAACGTTCGATGTAAGTTATTCATTAATACTTTATTGAGATTTTTTTATTAAACCCTTTTTGATCTAAGTTGATATTGCACAAATAAATGATTGAAAACATAAATTATTTGAATATTTGCTTGAATACATTTTCAAACTAGTCTTCCGGTAAGCATAAATGAACTCAGCTGAAGCTTATTGCTATAATTTGGTCCTATTTAACGAGCATGTTCTATAATGTTCTATACATGTGTTGTTGTCGTTCAAAAATGATATTATCAGTTGATAATATTGCCTACTTTTGTAAGTTATCACATGGGTTTTTTAATCTGATCCATATCTTTAAGATTCCTAATCCATCTTCACACTAAAAAAGTTGACTTACACTGCTGTTTTAATAAATACTGGTAGTTATGCATAGATCTTGTTTAATTTGACGTAGAATTTCACCAAGAAATAGCAACAACTAGGAAACCAATAAAAGTTCAACAATTTCTCTTATACTTTGTATACTCTACGTTTCTGAATTAGGAGGAACAGATATTCATCTTTAAATTAACGAATATATATATTTAGTTGTTATAAAATTGGCGGCTTTATGTGTAGAGAAGCGTTTAGTTGTGCAGTTGTGAGTCAACTGCAAATATGTAAGTATTTATGATGTGATAAATGTGTACTACGTAAGTTGTTATCAACAATCAAATGTTTACTTGATCACACCCATCGTTTGAAAATTTAGGGAGAATTTTAGGAAAGCAATTGGTAGTTTAGTTTGAGAACCGGCTCGTCAATGAATCGAATATACAACTAATCATTTGAGATATTTCCTTTAGTTAAACAGTCTTACGTTATTAACTGCTCATATTTTACTTGTATCAGAAAATTAGAATAAACCATTTCGACTATTTTTCAAGTATGAGATAGCGGTGATTGGTATAGAACTCTCTTTATTAAGAAGGTTAAATAGTCTTTGAACCAACGAAAATGCAAATTTTCATCCATTCAACAGAAATATTTTTCTATAATCTTTATTACCAGCGGTTAGTAACTAATTTTTATCGGATTTCTGAAAAACAAACAATAGCTATTTCGTTGTTTACTGTCTTAAATATTCTATTTTTATATCATGTTACTTTGTACAATAAAGTGTAATTTGTCCAGCAATAATATGACATTATTTACATCTTTCTAACTTGGATACTTAATTATTCATAAGGACTTTTTTAGGAAAAATATCAGGGCTCTCACAAATTGTGATTTATTTCTGTTGTCAGTAGCGTGTACATATAGTCATTTATACTTATTCCTCATTTATTGAAGTCAGTTATTATAGTGTAACTTAAACCGATGAGCTATATTGACTTGAAATTCTCTATTTTTGATTATCTTAATTCATAACTAAAGTTTTAGTTTTATAAAGACTACAGATAAGGCTTGTTTATGGGTGGATGATAAGGGATTAGGCGAACATTAGGTTATTTCTTTAGTGTCTTAAGTTGTTTATTGCCCGAATTTTCTCGTCATTACTAGACATGTTTGTTGCTTCGTTTGCTTACTAAAGTGGTAAATAGTTTTATTTTTCAGTGAAAAAGTATTAATTCGGGTGACTTTCTGTTTTCTGAATACTTTTGACTAGGTTTATTCACCTGCACCGTTACTTTCAAGACGATATTCTCGCCTATCTGTCGAAGAATTGGATGATATCAGTAAATTAAAAACAGAGTTAACTATTTTACAAAGAGGATTGGATTCATTTTCGAAAAAAGATAAACAACTAGATGTAAGTTCGCTTGGTATTGTTTACTTGAATATTCCCACTGATGTATAGGACTACAGTTGATCAGTCTCTTATTGGTATATGTGCATACTGTGCGGATTGCTTCGATATTGTCTTAGTTCACAATCATTATAAGCAAAGATGGATAGTGGCTAGCAGTGGAGTCCAGAACACGCGTTTCGTCCTATTTGAGACTCGTCAGCCGGATGTACCTGAATCCCAGAGTTGATGTTCACTCCGGGACTCGAGCCCAGTAGTTGTAAGATAATTTATTTCTAAAAACGCAAATTACAAGGACATGAGTTTCATGTATATCGATTTTCTTTAAAGTTTTAAATGCATAATTGTCTAAGTTTGAACGGCGAACGATAGGATTTTATCATCAGTACAGTCTTTTAGATTCCCAAGACAATGAAGACATAAGTTGAGATTTAGAAAGTCCTGAGTGTTTAGTAAATTATTTACAACTCAAGACACCATACTTACATATCACTTTAGTAATTGTCTGTGGAAAACTGAAATAATTAAAGTTTTAATGCATGTCTATAAAAACAGCATATTATAACGAATTGATTCACACTAACTGAGTTGCCTGGTGAGTATCAGCTTTTAACGACTCCTCCGATGGTGTCGATTTGCGTTATGTAATCTGTACAAAAATCACATTGGACGCTTAACAATATATTCCAAAATCTTACTCAGTTTGAACAGGGGCACTTACAACTGAATATTTTAATACAGTTTGGAATATGAATAATAGTCATAATGTTTGATTTTTTGTATTTAACTTAATTAAAATCAAACCGTATTTTTGGTTTTCATAACCTACTTCATTCGTAGAAACTGTATAAATCTTGGGCTAACAAATCTTCATCAGCTGATAATTTCAAATTATTATTAGAGGATGTTCACAAATTAGTTAACATGAAAGTTCCTTCCATTAATCTATCAACTGCATTAGAAAAGAAAACTGTAAGTTTTTTTTGCTCATTTGTTATGAAAACCAGAACGATTAATTAATTAAAAATTTGATAACATCTCTGATTGTAACACTTCTAATCTCATGGGGAGCTTTATTTCCTTCTAGATTGTAGATACTATCTGTTAGAGTTCTAACTATCACATAAATTATATCTAAGGCTTACTGGATATATAATCTCTAGACAATTAACGTTTTTAGTGGAAGTTTGAAACTTCTAAAATTCTATCATCTGATAATAAATACTTTTGAGTGAAAGTATTTACTTTCAGAATTAGAGATTACTCTAATATATTTCTTAATAATCTCTGTGATGTTTCTATCGACGAAGATATGTTACTTTGTGTACGAAGATATTAGTTATTATCATTTTGATAATAATGTGAAATTGATGGGTACATGCATACGGTAAACAGCACAATTCATTAATTAGCTTTTCTTTTATAAGATTTTAATTTGACAATATATGTGTTAAATAAGCAAATATTAATTCATAGGTTAGTAGCTTGGTGAATATAAAGTTTGTTTTCGATGAAATCATTTACTTAAGCTGTATGTTCATATTTGGTAAATATTTGTCTATAGGAGGATAGGAGAGATTGCATCATAAAGTGATTCAACACTCCAATTATCAAGTGAGGTTACGTAATAATCAGGGGCTTAAATAAGAATAGAAGGATGAAAACAATTTACGGGTCAAAATTTTGAAGGAAAAATGAAAAACATAAAGGTCATAATAATAGCTGAATGACAATCATCAAAAGTTATTAAAGGATAATAATAACTGATTACGGTTTAATATTACAAAACGCTAATAAAAAATATTAAAAAAACACTGCAGAAGGGAATTAGGACCGAAGAAGGATGAGAGGTTGGACGTATCGTTTTTGCACGCCGAGGTCGGGCTTGAATTGGTGGATCGCCAACACCACAGCAGTTTTTGATTTGACCTCCCTTCACTCCAGTTCCTTTGACTGTGTAGATTATTTTAAAGGAGGACTACGGAGTGACGTGTCCAAAGTTGACTGAATGCTCCTGTATTGAACTGGCAACTGTTTTGCATTCTTTTAAAAGCCATGCCAGGTAATATTCTGGGATGGGTTTAAAAAGCGATCTCTTTATGAGGCCAATGTAACCTATCCCACAGGAGCAAATAAATTTATAGATGCAAATCGACGTGACCCAAAGCGGAAGTTTATCCTTAACATATCTGTGAATGGTAGACCAGATTCAGAAGTCAATGCGGAGCTTAGCTGGGTAAGTTTTGTTCAGGGCTTTTCAAATCCGCTTATTCAAGATTTCGGCAGCTGTATCTCCTCTAAATTCAATATTCATAAAAAGAGTTGGTGGCTTTTCAGGGTGTTGACTAAGTGTTAAGTTCCTATCGATGAATCTGGGTGGATAACCACTCTTGATAAGTGTCTGTCGAAGTTGAAATAGTTCAGTAAAACATATTCGCCTGATGCTTGAGGTTCAAGAGTGAATTAAGTCCCTCTTTGCACTCAGTGGGACCCAGGTATGAAAATTCGTGCACTGCCCATTACGAGTTGGTTTTTCTATATATCTCTGTATCTCTCTGTAAAGAACCCATCTGACCTTTTCAACCGGACATCAAGAAAGTGCAATTCTTCGTTCGTCTCTGCTTCCAACGTGTATTGAATTGAGGGGTGACAATTATTGAGACGATTCAAAATTTCATTGAGGTCTATATCTTCCTCACAAATAGTGAAAGTACCATATTTTACAAACTGGCCATAAAACAGTCAACCGAGAGCGGACCCAACGGTGAACCCATTGCAACTGAATAGCACATTGAGTAATTGATTACGTCAAAGAGGAAATTTTCTTCGCTGGATACTCTTTATTTAAGGATGCAGTGGGTTACTATGTCCTAAGTAGCTGGAAATTAAATTCCAATTTTTAACTATATACGAAATTGTGCTGATTGATCGACAGCTAACTTTGTTAATGGTTTTCAAGCTCAAGTCTGGGAAACGGAAGTAGAAGAAACAAAACGTAACACTTATCACATTCTAAAAGTTAAATTCACAAATTTGCTATATTATTGTTTTAGAGTTAGAAATCTTATTTACAATATTTTCATCTTCAAACTAAGTTTAATTTCAATTGACAGTTAACTTGGTTCGTAAACCTCTTCTGTAACCTATAGGTTTTTGTACTTTGATCTGAGCTACTGTGTTTTGCATGAGAACTAGTTGTACTACTCGTCTACTCGTAACATTATTAGGGTAGAAAGTGTTCGTACCCAAGACCTATTAGTTAGAATCCTTAGTGCTCTGATCACTGAAACATATGTCTACCTACTAAGGTGACTTTAAGATACAATTTGACAATACACAATACTTCGGCAGTTGAGATCATGAGTCAATTGAAGCTAAACCACCATGGAAAACCTGGAAACACTGGACGGCCGTTTCGTCCTAGTATGTGGCTCCTTAGCAGTGCGCATCCACGATCCCGCCCCGTCCCCGCTAGATTTGAATCCGGGATCTACTAGTCTCGCGCACGAGCGCTTAACCACTAGACCACTGAGCCGACATTCAACGGTGTTAATGTCTAACTTCAACCAATCCATGAAATTGCACCACCGTCACCATTGTCTTCAGTGAGCTGATATCTTACAACAGACCTGGTTGAACCCCACTGCTCACGGCTTCTCACTAGAACTCCAGGAGTGTCTATTGAAGTCAGTCACTAGTGAGCAGATGATTATTATTACTACAATCTCCACAAAACCCCTTCTGATACTAATACACAATATCTCCATCATTAAAACCTAAGTAATCATAAATTTTGATTATTCACATAATTAATATTAATATAGTGCAGCTACAAACACTGTTGTTCTAGACGTTTCTCAGTGATTTCTCAATCAATCTCATCTAAAAAAATAAGACTGTGGTTGTTGGAATTATTTATCACACTGATTCACGTTTACGTGTAAGTGAATCATGGATAAAATGACATTCTTAAAAATTCGTAGTTTTAACCTACCTTTTATTTTGGATTTGGGAAAAGATATAAAAGTTTTAATAAAAGTAATCACTAGATAGTTCATATGTTGGTTTTACTAATTCAAAGCCTTCAGTGAAGAAATTTTTTCCAGAATATTTTAAAACTAAATAGTTTGAATTAAAAGACTTAATAAACTGTTAGATTTATACTATTGGATAAAGATAATTTAGGATCATTGTTATAATATGAAACTAGACGTCTACGCAGCTTTGAATTTGCATTATATACAATGTACGTAATCTCATTGTAGACATGGCTTGTAATTTGAAATACCCATTTATTAATAACAAAATCAAATGTTCTTTTAAAAAAAAGAATTAATTTCGTTTATTCGTTTATGATAATTTGTTTTCCTCTATTTGTTTTAGTGAACTTATTCAAACTAATATTTTACGTACTCAGAAGTTTGTGCAATATTTCAAAACAAGAAAAATAAACTGTCTCATGTTGGACTGTTGAATGATTTATTTATAAAATGATTAGATCATTCGCTTTAATCTTAGTTTATTCATATATATTTAGTTTTTCATTAATAATATGACCTTGGAACTGTTATATTCTATTAATATTATTATTAAATTAAACATTATTTATGACGATTCCTTTGTTTGGAATTTTGGTATTTATGGGGTGTCGAAAATCACGTCGAACAATATCTCAGTATAATTTTTATTCACTGAAATAATGTACAAAGAATGAGAATTCATGATAAGTAACTACATAAATTGCCATAAAAAGCCAGTTGTTACTATCACACTTATTTAGCAACATATTTGTTTCTCTAGTCAACAATTAACTGATCGAAACAAATATATTTAAAAAATCTAATCAATTGATCATTCATAAATTATATGGGACACTGTAAAAAATGTGTATTGGTTCATGTTACAGCATTTGTTGTCAAGACTGAGGTGATAAAAATAAGATGACAATGAAAAAATAGTGGGACAATATTAGCAGAACTAATAGTAGTGAAAAATAGAAAATATGGTTCGAAAAGCGTACATGAAGTTAAAAGATAGGAAGTGTGAGTTATTACTAAAACTTTTTACCTGTGAGTAAACAAAGAGCGAAATCTTCTATATCACTGCATTCAATTTCAAATTATGTTACCCTAAATCTCTTACTACAAATTATGGTTATAAATGGGTTTTAAACAGGAAGTTATACATTATTACATGGCTTAAAATAGCAAACATCGTTTTCATTTAATGAAGCCATTTATTATTTTGGTAACTCACGAACTATTAGGTTTCGTTGTAATCAGAAAAAGACCGAAGGCTTATCATTTTAACACTCTTACGTAGTACAGTACTAAAACTAATCATTATTATTGATTTCTATATATTGCATAATCAGCCAACTTTATAACGTGTCAATACAAATATACATCTCACTTATGGGGTAGACAAAGATCTTTCATTATCACCGTTCATCATAAAAATATCACTCTGACTTAATTCATGTATTATTAATATTCAAAGTACATTTTATCCTAATTTGTGCTGAACATTATGTGCAAGTAAAGTGAAAATGTTTCTCCATAAATTTACTAAGTCACATACTAACTTATTTTTTACCATATTAAAATGATCTCTTTAGTAATAATAGGAATAGTGATTATAATATTTGAACGTTGTATTCACTACATACTGATTTCATATAGGATACTATTGGAAACCAGATCCTAATATTTACGTCATGACACACATATGAAATCATAGTTTAAAATTGATACAAATTAACACATATTTGCAGTTACTGAGTGGATCATTTGCTTGCCTACAACTTTATTTAACATTGCAGGCCTATGCTTCATGTTATCGTTATAAACTAACACGAAACTATTGGTAAAAATATAATCTAATTCAAACGTTAAATAAAATTTATTTCAATATGATGTAAACACCCATGAAAATTAGATATACATGTTTGGAAAACTTCAAAAGTCTAAATCAAATATATATGTGATCGAGAATGCTCATTCGAGCATTCAAAAGAGGCTGGGTGAAAACACATTATTCATGAAGTCACCAATAATAAATGAAGGAACTAAAGTATGTTGTGATTTATTTCAGACTGTCATGGTCATCACGTATAATAATAATAATAATAATAATAATAGTATACAGTGAACTCAAGTTATTACTATGAAACGTGATTATCGATGTATAATCTACAAGTATAAAAATGGTCACTACAATGATTAAATATTAGCATATTTTCTGCAATGATTTTCGGAATATGATTCGTTTATTTATTTATTTTATGTTGATGAAAACAGTGCAGTATGTAATATAACAATTTAAAATGTGCGTTACTTCCATTTGTAGCTTTGACAATTAAGCAATCAGTGGAATAGCACGTGGCCTGTTGTTGTTGTTGTTGATGAGTGACTTTTCATGAAATGTTACATTGAGTGGACGTAATCTCTCTCTAAGAAATAATGGAATACAGACGAACAGTTGAGTTTATGAAAATTAAGACATAAGTTTAATTGCAGATCTATATAAATTATTGAATACCTGAAATAGATTTTCACTCATACTAATAGTTTACATTCGTGAATTGCTATTTTGAAATTTTGTCAATAACTTTAATTAAACTTTCAGATAATCTCTTTAATTGAGATAATGAACTGATAAATGTTGGACCACCATCGAGAACCTGGAAGCACTGGATAGCCGTTTCGTCCTAATATGGGACTCCTCAGCAGTGAGTACCCACAACCCCGCACACCGGATTCAGGCATAACCTTTAGACCACTGAGATGTCATCCAACGGTGTTAATGTCTAACTTCAATGTTGTTCTAACATTAATCAGTTCATGATCGCAATTGGAACTCAACAATCTCCACAAACGTGTACTGATAATCTCTATATTGATTGCTTTTCTACTTTCTTTCTGTATGTTATATATAACACTGTACATTAGGATAGATTCGACTGTTTTGTGGAATTGTTTAGAATGCTTGATAGATCCCTCTGAATATTATGGACAAAAACACTGTATTATATCACAAAGTGACTGTGAGTAGCAGTCAAATATATTCAGTCTTCATTTTTAATTTATTAGATTCTATTATTCTAAATATAATTTCTCGTTTCCTATTCATGAAGATCTTTTTCTGTGCTGTCTCAGTGCAATAAAATCTAACTGATATAGTATTTTAGGTCATTTTAATTTGATATGTCTATTTAACAAATCATAAATTGTGGGAAAGGCTAGACTTATATTTCAGCAATAAACCACAAGCAGTCAACTTGCCAATTCGACAGACATACATCCTTTTTAATAATATAAGTAATAGCTGAAGGTCAACAAAAATTATGAGGATATTTTTATGAGTAAATAAATCAAGCTTGTCATTGACGGTACATATAGCGTGAATGTGTAGATGACAACTGGAAACTAGTATCTAATGTATCTAAATATTTAAACGTTAAAGTATAATTTCTTGTTTATCAAATCTTTTGACGTTTATCTAAGTTTCCAAGAAACTTTATTTCCATGATTAGAAAATAAAGTATTTTTATAGTATCTGACAATATATTGATTGATTTGTTGAGATAAATAAATAAAATTATGTGATGGTATATAGACCTTAACAAGCTTCTATGATTACAGTGGTTAATGATTTCTCGATATCATTTTCAAGTCCATAGATTCAGTTCATGGGTAAATTAGATAATATTCTTATTCTATCAAAATTGTCGGTGTATATCTTATATATTTCCTTCTTATTGATTAATAATCACATATTCGTGTTGGTGAATAATTCCATAATGAAAATAAATCGTAACTTTTGAAAAAAAAATTGCCAACTACCTTAATTTTGAAGCTTCTTTTAGACTTAAACGTGCTGATGAAGTAGAGTCAAAAGAACACATAGCACCCCATACACACCGTGACCGATCATAATTTTCTGAATTGTAACGTCCAGGACCAACTGGACTCTGGAGTAGGAAGATAATAACGTTTTTTTACAATATTGAATTACACTTATTCATTTAATAGGTAGCAGACATTTATCTTTATAACTTGATTAACCTATATAAGTGAAATACAACCCCAAGTATATTTATAGGTTAGAAAAAATGACCATCTATCACTCAATGAAGTTATATTCTAAAGATTGAGGTAATAATAAATTGAAAAGAAAATGATCTTCAGTTAACAATACAGTGCCAGTTTGGGAAGAATTTAATGTTGAAAGACACTTTAAGTTTAAGGAAAATAACTTTGGATCACTTCAAACAGTGAATAGGGAAACTTTAAACTCATTCTTGATAATTATCATTGCTCATCAGTAAAATATTAATCTGAGTGGTCATTTTTTGAGTAGATTTTTCATGCTGTATAATAGCTTATCGCATACAATCAACTGATGAATTCATAGCTTCTTATTTATACAAATATATTCATTGCAACCTATTTCAATATGGGTAACCCATTACCTGATAATTTGAGTTACGTTTATCGTATAACAACGTCAGGAAGAAACCACTGAAAACGAAATTTAAATAATCAGTCACTTTGACTCATATTGCGAGTCCTTATCCATGAAGTCTCAGGAATACCGATTACACCCAGAGCTTTCAGGTACAATAATTAACATGAACTTATTTAAATATTGAGTCCGTCAATACTGCTCTACAGTTTTCTAATGTTTAGTCGGAAACAAAAAAATTGTTTTTTAGTTATAGACTAGTTAAATACCGTCCAATAGCCTATAGGTTATAATTTTAACAGATCATGATTATTTTCTGAAAACATGTGCCTCATTAAAATGGTTGACATCACCTGTACAGAAATTTATATATTTGAGGCTTTTATGTGTGTTCTAAATATCAACTATATATCTACTAAATATGAGCTTTACTTAACTATACTCAAGGCACAGATGAATCTTCTGTTAAGATATTTATTAAATGTAATGTTACTATTCCAACAGTTTTTAAAAGAACCGATTTGACCTGTATTGATAAGTGTACGCGACTGACTGGTTTGCATTTCCAAAGATTGAGACACACTATTATTGTTTATATATATATATATATATATATATATATATATATATATATATATATATATATATATGAGAAGGCACGGATACCAATTTCTGTTTGACCAGCAAACTTTTTTCTCATTCTCAGTGTCTTCGCCCAGATAGCCGGTTGAGCCTATACATAAGAAGGTTGTATATCAGTATCAAAATTCGATACTGTAAGTCACAAGAGAAACAAGAAGTTTCGTTTGATTGTCTGTTCAAATACTGCGAGTCAATTACCTGCAAATTTACGCTGATACACCAGTACAAAAATAAGCAGATTGTAAAAAGAATGTAACAGTTTTTATTTAGTGTCCGATGTTTGAAAGAAAGTTTGTTTTTCCCTTAAAATATGTAAAGGAATCAGTTCAATAAAAAAACAATTACCTGTCTACTGGTAAATATTGAGTGTGAATTACGAGAGGCGCTGGACAAAAATGGAGGAGCTTGATGATTAAAACTTTTATCCTTGTCATATAAATATTTGGGATCATAATATCCTGGTCCTATCTTTAAAAAAACAAAGCGAAACCCAACAAACATAACTACATGTCATTATTGGTTCGTGATATTTATAAAACGTGATCATGGGGAAAATGCTATAACTAGTAGGCTAGCTCAAAATTCAAGTATTATATTCCCTATTTGGCTTAGTGATCCTCTTATTTTGTATGAATATCATTACGCTGTTGTCTAAATTTTGCATGGCATACATGTGAATTTTACGTTGTTTGGGCAATGATCAATTAAGTAAAGGAAGTTGATAAGTGATGAATGGTTGAAGTTTCGTGACGTTGTTATAAGCTTTTGAATTGTTTAGTCTTCTTCAGTAAGCTAACTTAATGTGATTAAAAGCATCACCTGGTTTCACGGTAAACTAGATCACAAACATGTTAGTTTTATTGAATACGGTGCGGTTATTTGGGAGGATAATGTTGTATTTAGTATATTCATATTTTGAATACATTTTCATTGCTCATTATTCAACTAAGAAATTTTACTAACTACTGGAAAACTAAAAGAATTTACCAAGCACATTAGTCTTACCTTAGATCTTACGAGGTCGTTTTGCATCCTAGCAGAATAGCACTGATCCATTTTTCTTTGGTCAACAACAAGTCTACGAAACATCCCTGTATACTTCTTTTCTGGTCGCAAAAGATTGGATGTAAATGATGTTAATGAATAGGTTCCTGGTTCTGGGTATTCAGAAGTCTGAAAAGTTGTTGAGGGATAAAACAACTGAGTTGTGAAAAATAGAAGGCAAAAGTAAGTAAGCTTGATGCTTCATACTCTGTTTAACTTCAAAGTTAGCTAAAGCCATATTTCTTCAAGCTAACTTTTCTAAACATTTTTGCTCCTATCTGCTTTTTCCAATAGGCTATTTTCTGCATTTAATCTTCAAAACATTTCTACACAAAGGACATAAAATAATCGTGGTAAAGGCATTGTTGCCGGTCAACAAGATAGTTATCTTTCTATATCTGTTTATTGTATTACGTATATATATGCTTGAATAAGGATAACAAATCTGGAACAAACTATTTTTCAATATTGTCCAGTTTAATTAATTTTCATTTTATGGTTAACTTCCCAATTGTTTGTGACGAATGCTAGGTAGTTTGGTTTCCCCCAACTATCTAGATCAGGCATACCAAAAATGAGTGAAAATAGGGAGAATAATAATCCCATCTTAGCAGATGGACCAATAAAATCAAAGTATCAGTCATGAAGTGAAAAATACTAGATAAGTCTAATTTCAGCAAACAAAATTCCGATAGGAATATAAGTAAATATTTGAAATAGAATATCAAAACTCTTTCTCACATAATTAAAGCTTCTTGGTCCAGTCATCAAATCATAAGGTCCGCGTTTCCCGGTTTTTTTGTCCAGTAGTTTCTGTACCGAACCACTGATTTCGTAGGTACCTGGTGCAACATTACACCCCTTATTGATAAACGTTAGTTTGAACCATCAATTAAATTACTGTCAACGGTAAAGAACGACTTCCATCCCCACCACATTCTAATAAGCCTTTTGTACAACATGATTTGTGTTTCGCATCCATTAATTCTTTATAAAGATATGGATCACCTTTCATCCCATAAGTACCCACTCCTGGAGTATCATTCTGAGTAAAGAATTCATAAAAGTAATTTTAAAAGGCTTGATGTTTACTCCTCTGAGTTCCGAAAAGCGATCCGCAGTTGTATTTATGGGTCCTATGGATTCTGAGGTTCCCTTCGTCTGAATTTCTCTTGGTAGGTTATACCGACCAGGTCCAAGATTTCTTTGCTTTAAAAAAACGTTTTCCGAAAAACTATGTATTAGAATAAATATAAAAGTTGAGTTAACTTCATTTTGTAAATATATAAAACATTTATCGAACTGTACAAACGACTGGTTGATGACCGGTTGTTTTGCTCAAAACAAAAATGTAGTGAAGAAAAAATGAAGAGACTGCCTAACAAAGAATACTGAATAAAGTATCTACAAACCTTTTGTGTTTGGATTGTGGCGGTAAATAAATTTTGTGAGCTACTTTGAACCTAATTTCAGAAGGCTGAATATTTACTTTGATTAGGTTGAAAAACTACGGAAGTATGTCCTGAGACTCTCTGATTGATATAGGCGTGTAGAGGTGAATAAGCCCCCATAATAAATAATTTTGTAAGTCTTCGACGTTGATGCTGATCTCACTAGGTTTATAGTGCACAACTTAGCTGAAGGCTCTCACTCACTCATCCGAACCCGATTACGATTGGGTGAACCGTGCTATCCATCCCTTGGAGCTGCCATCCAGCTTAGACCAAAAGCTTCTCGACATACTGATATCTTTTTAAATATGTCTTCAAACCCCTTCATTTCTGACTTCCGATTTGACTAGGTTGATGTGTTTCCGTTGTCAAGGTGCTACGCATAAAGGCGTTGTCAAACTCTGACCGCCTGTCGCATCCTTGCGCGCGCTATTTAAAAGGACAGTGGTGTTTTTCATCGCTGAGTAAATCCTATTGTTTTGATCGTTTATTACGTATCAAGACCACTCTTTATACTTTAATTTAACTTATTTCAGTTAAAGTATCCGATAAGCTTATCGTTTTTGTTTTTAAAGTACTTTTGAGTACTTTATTTTCTAATGTATTTGTTGGTACTTTGGTTCTAACAATTTACAGTTTTCTACTATTTTTGGTCATAGATCACTTTTGTCTCTAGGTACTATTGTATCTAGTTTCTTTTTAAAAACTTCTGTCCAATGACTGGACAGTGCAAGAAAAGCAATTGCCAACGTCTGGGCTGTCGATATCTCGTTGAAAGTGGCATGCGGTGCGATGAGTGCAAAGGCTGGTACCACGAAGTGTGCACGAATTTGATGCCTGCGGCTTTCAAACGGTTTAATAAAAACGGTTGCGTATGGCTTTGTCAGCAGTGCTGTTCGGATGCAAACAGTTTGCTAACCGAGGCCATGTCAATGGCAAATGATGCAAAAAAGCGTTTAAGCAAGTGAGGTCGGGACACATAGGACAGCACTCGCACTGTCGACACACAGATTGATGTGAAGCCGCCTCAATTGAGCTCGGAAACAGCTGACTCAAGTCGATTAAAGGAGGAAATACTGTCTTCAAAGTGGTCTGTCTTAATTAAAAACTCAAGAAAAGAATTTTCCTCTTTTCCCTGTCCTCTAAATAGTGTCAGGCAGGAAACACCTAAAAATCGCAATCGCAAGGCTCTATCTATTTCTAGCAGGAAACACAACCTGACTTCCAAAGTCATTGATAACCCTCCGGAATTCCACAGTGTTTGACGCGACTGTGGTTGCTACTCCAACGAAAGTTGACGAATGGATACAGGTCGTAGGCAAGAAACGACATAACGATATAAAAGAAAAACCTACCCTCCAAAAGTAGTTGAGAAATTGAAGACTGGTCACAGTGACAGGTCAGTTATTTTTCATAGAATCACGGAGAGTGAAAGCTCTGAAACTAAAGCTCGCTTTGAGCACGACATTGGGTTGATAAAACAGCTACTAAATCAACTTACACCTCAAAGTATTTCCAGAGTCATTTTGCTAAAGATGTATAGACTAGGTAGTCAAGCAAACTTAAAACCAAATCAAACCAGGCTGCCTAAAGTTGTATACAAATCTTCTAATGAACGGGACTTAATTTTACGGGATTGACACAAATTAAAGGGCTCAGGAGCTTCTGTCCGTAAGGACTTGCCGCTGGCAGACTGTGTAAAAAGACGGGAAGCCAAAAAAGAACTACAACATAGGTTAAACGCTGGCGAAACGGACCTAAAAATGGTAAATTTTCGGGTTGTGAGGCTTCGACAGAGAATGATGCCGAAGCCACTCTGGGTGCAGCACTTACTTACTTACTTACGCCTGTTACTCCCAATGGAGCATAGGCCGCTGACCAGCATTCTCCAACGCACTCTGTCCTGGGCCTTCTTTTCTAGTTCCATCCAATTCTTGTTCATTTCTCTCATGTCTATTTCCATTTCTCGGCGTAATGTGTTCTTTGGTCTTCCTCTTTTCCTTTGGCCTTGAGGATTCCATGTGAGGGCTTGTCTTGTGACGCAGTTGTGTGCTTTCCTCAATGTGTGTCCTATCCACTTCCAGCGCTTCTTCCTGATTTCTTCCTCCGCTGGGATCTGGTTTGTTCTCTCCCACAGTTGGTTGTTACTAATAGTGTCCGGCCAACGAATCCGAAGTATTTTGCGTAGACAACTGTTAATAAACACCTGTATTTTCTGGATGATGGCTTTCGTAGTTCTCCAGGTTTCTGCCCCATACAGTAGAACTGTCTTGACATTTGTATTGAAAATCCTGACCTTGGTGTTGGTTGACAGTTGCTGGGTGCAGCACGAAGCCATTTAAATAGGCTTCGGATCTGTTACACAAATTCCCGAAGCTTGCTGAATAAGCGGTCGAAACTAGATGTACAGATTGACTCTACCAACTCAGATATAAACGCAGTCACAGAAATGTGGTTGACGCAGCCTTTAAAAAGTAAGGAATTTAATTTTGAGTGTTTCACGTTAGTAAGAGCCGACAGAATCCAAAAGCGTAAAGGAGGGGGAGTATCTCTATTCATTAGGAATGCTTTCTCATTTGCTATTATTGACAGTATATCCCATGAGAGTGTGACGTGTGAATTAGTTAGTTGCTGCTTGAAATGCAAGGGACAGGAGCTGCTGATTGGTTTGGTCTACCGTAGTCCAAGCTGTGAGGTAAATGAGGTCTTGCTAAGCAGTCTCAATACTTGGTCACAAAGTGGTCAATATCTAATTCTAGGAGACTTTAATGCACCCATGGTAGACTAGAAAAACCTGCGAACTGAATTGTCAGATAATTCCTTTGAGCAGGAACCATTTGTTGCGGTTATCACATGTACCCTTATACAACATGTGAAAGAAGCGACTACGTACGACCCGAACTCTAAATTATCCTTACTAGATCTTATAATGACCCATTATGAGGATGACGTTGCGAACCTCCATTACATGCCGCCCCTTGGTAAAAGTGATCACGCAGTTTTAACTTTTGACTTCCATATAACTGTCAATCACGAGCACGCGTCAGCTCAATCCAGACCTAACGTGTAGGAATAGAACATATCAGATATTATGCACTCAGCATCGTTAATAGATTGGACAATAGACCCGAAGTCCTCAATTGAAACGGCTTGGGACGTATTTCGAAATTTATACTTAAAAGTTATTGCATCCCACATCACTTGAACCACACCAAGGGGGCCGAGAAACTCTTCACCATGGTTCAGTAAGGAGGTCCACATTCTTCTCCGTAAGAGAAGAAAAATGTGGGGTAGATTTAGGTTAATGGGGACTGATGAGACAAAATCTCAGTATCGAAAAGCTCGGAATACCTGTGCCTCGACCCTTCGTAAGTCTAGAAGGTTGTACGAAGAGAAAGTTATCATGATGAGTTTTGTGGAGATTTTAGAAAATTTCACAGGTTGAAATCATGAGTCAGCCTGTGAAATTTCCTAAAATCTCCACAAAACTCATCCTGATAATAATCAACTGTTCACTAGTGACTGACTTCAGGAGAACCTCCTGGAGTTCTAGTGAGAAGCCGTGAGCAGTGGGGTTCACAATCAGGTCTGTTGTGAGATATCAGCTCACTGAAGACAATGGTGAACGGTCGCGCAATTTCGTGGATTGGTTGAAGTTAGACATTAACACCGTTGAATGCCGGCTCAGTGGTCTAATGGTTAAGTGCTCGCGCGCGAAGCCAGTAGGTCGTGGGTTCGAATCCTGCTGTGTGGGGGCGGGTTCGTGGATGAGCACTGCTAAGGAGCCACATACTGGGACGAAACGGCCGTCCAGTGCTTCCGGGTTTTCCATGGTGGTCTAGCTTCAATTGACTCATGATTTCAACCTGTGAAGAGAAAACTGTCAAGGAACCCATAGAATATTCTAAACGCTTGTATTCCTATATAAACCAAAGGACAAAAAGTAGAGGAAATATTACTGCACTATGGGGAGACAGTACTGTCTCATCATTAGTGTAGGACGACTTTGGTAAGGCTCAAGTATTCTCAAACTACTTCAGCAATGTATATACCATAGAAACACCCCGTCAGGCCATGACCCCCCCCCCCAACACAAACACAAAACAGCGTGACTATTAAAGAACTCGATTTCTTTGGTCTGCTAAGTAAGCTAGACATAGACAAATTCATGGGACCCGATAAACACATCCTAGGTTACTAAAGGAATTAGCTAACTTCGTCGCGAACCCTTTAAGTATATGCTTTAATCTATCCGTAACCCACGGTCGTTTACCAAAAGACTAGAAGAACGCCATAGTAAGTCCTGCCTTCAAAACAGGTACAAAACATAAACCTGGGAATTACTGACCCGTTAGCCTAACTAGTGTGGTTGTTAAAATTTTAGAGATTATTCTGAAGGAGCTGTTTAAGTATCTCGATAAAAATCGGATCCTTCCGAAAAAAGCAGCACGGTTTTAGAACAGGTTATTCCTGTCTCACAAACTTTTTAGTGACTCTTAAAAACGGTTACGATCTAAAGGATCAAAAGTTACCTGCAGACGTGGCCTATACTGACTTCAGCAAAGCTTTCGACAAAGTTCCGCACAACTGGCTGTTATATAAGTTAAGAAATGTCGAGGTTGGAGGCAATCTATTGATGTGGATAAGAGACTTCCTAGTTGGGCGCCAACAGAAGGTACGGGTGAACTCCAAGTTGTCTAGCTGGGAAACTGTGCTTGGTGGAGTGCTCCAGGGTACAGTTTTGGGTCCAGTGTTATTCCCCTTGTATCTAAGTAACCTTCCTTACCTACTATCATCATCACTCGTGCTATATGCTGACGATGCCAAGATATGGAGAGGGATACAATTTAAGAGTGATAGCTTAGAACTCCAGAATGACCGATAAATACGTCCAAGTGTGTTGTGATGCATATCGTTCATCAAGGTACAGATACATACACGATGAATAACACTGAGCTGCCTGTTGCCTAGATACACAATGACTTTGGATTCATCGTTAGCCAAGACGTAAAGACTAATGCACACTGCCATGCAATGGCTGCCAAAGGTTTTAAGACATTATGGTCAATACGTAGGGCCTTTAGTCATGTCGACGCTAAAACTTTTTTGACTTTATATAGAGTGTTCGTGCGTCCTAAACTTGAGTACTGCATACAAGCGGATAGCCTCTGCTTAAAAATAGACAGTGAGCTTTTGGAAGAAGTTCAGGGAACAGCAACTGAGCTGATTCCCGGAATAGCGAAGCACCCGTATAATGCTCGACTGGCCAAGCTAAACATATTCCCGTTGTGATATCGCAGAACTAGAGGCGACTTGATTACAGTTTTCAAATTGCTTAGTGATAAATTTGCGCCTGATATGCCCTCATTTTTCTTGTCTCCCAAAACAGAGAATTTACGAGGACACTCCGGAAAAGTTCACAAACCCAGAACAAATTTTTTGTCAGCTGACTATCACCGAGTGAAAATGATTACTTTAGCACGTGATTGAGGCTTCTTCGTCCGACTCTTCCAATACTTTTAAGTTCATAAATCTAAACTTATTTTATATGGTTTACGTTTTCCAAATGAGTCCATATGTATGGTGTTTGTCGCTGGGTAGCTTTGGATAACGTTACTGAATTCATTTTAGTTACTCTGGATCAATAAATCATATGTAGTAGGCGGATTACCACTGTTTGCATATGCATGATAGGCAAACTGAATTCCTATAGGAATATTTGTTGGGTAGATTTACTGCTCAAAAAGTAATGGACGACATAAAAGTCCAATAACAATCATGCCAGCATGTTGTCAAAAAATGTGTTCATATCCAAAAATCATCACATAACACCATTGTCAACATCTATCTTATCAAAACGTTTAAAATATATAACATTTACCTGAGATTCCTTTGATAGTTTTAGATTTCGACTGAATAAATTCGGTATGGCGGCATTACGCTGCACTTCATACTCCCTTTTCCAGCCTGATATACTATTTTTTAAATTGGAAGTGTTTATAGTGTTTCTTTTCCGTGTAAATGATTCATTACATTCATAAGAACCCGGACCAATGTCAGTGGACAAGATTTCTTTCATCCATCTTGGGTGGACGTTAATTCGTTGTCTAAATACGTGTCATAAACACAATAAATACCAACCTGTCCGTGCTGCTACCAAATGGCGGTTTACAAATCATTTAGATTCATAACACCTCGCTTGTATTACCATAACATTCGTACGTACAATATCCAATAACTTGTGATAATGTGTTGTCAACAAAAGAACTTCTTTGAGATTGCTTATTGTTTCCTCTGCACATTTTTGAGTCTTTGGCGGTATCCAACTACATATATTGTGATTACTTGAGTGTACTAGATCCAGTCACTTCGATAGTCATTTGTTAGTTTGTCACAGATCAGTAGGGATTCTAGGAAAAGCAGCCTTAACAACACTAAGCAGTAAGTTGGTTGGCTGCAGTTTTTCTTAGAAAAAAGACAAGATATCAGTACGGAATAAAGAAGAGCAGATGAAAAGTAGGAGAGGAAATCAATTGATCTTATTATGTCATCAATTTGTTGCATTGCAGAGGAAAATAAATCCCTAAAATAAACTGTTCTGTGAGCTATCTTAAAGCGCAGAAACCAAACCAGCAAACATAACGCGAGCTATTCGACGATATCGAGCTGCAACACAGCTCGGCAACGGAGATTATCTATATTTGAAAAAGATCAGTGTCCGACAAACAACACCATTTGATAATCTTACCAAAATACTAAATATTGTGCCTTCCGGAAATCACAAATAAATTAATGTATTTCTATTTAAAACCATCCCGCACATTTAAATTTTTGGGAAACTCCCTTGCCGGTACGCATCAATGACAATCGTAGGTGGAAAAGCTGACTTACATATTTACTTACCCCTGTTACCTCTAATGGAGAAGTATAGGATGCTCACCAGCTTTCTTCATCCAACCCTTTCTTGGACAATCCTTTCTAGTTCTTTACAGTTGCTATTCATCCTACTCATATCTGCTTCAAATTCACGGCACAGTGTGTTCTTCGACCTTCCACTTTTCAATCTCTCTTCAGGATTCCAAGTTAGCGCTTATCTCGTGACACAGTTTGATGGTTTCCTCAATGTGTGTCCTATCCACTTCCGGCATGTTTTCTTAGTTTCCTCCTCAGCTGGAAGTTGGTTTGTTATCTCCCACAATAAGCTGTCGCTAATGGTATCCGGTCAAAGGACATTGAGTATCTTACGTAGACAATTGTTTATAAATACTTGTACGTTTTTGATGATGGTTGTGGTAGTTCTCCAAGTTTCAGTTCCATACAGTGGGACTGTCTTGACACTGATACTGTAGATTGTTACTTTGATATTGGTTGACAGATATTTTGAGTTGCATATGTTATTCAACTGTAGGAATGATGTCCTTGTTTTCACAATTCTCGCCTTTACGTCTGCATAATATGCTCCACGTTCATCGATTATGCTATCCACATAAGTGAAACTTTCCACCTCTTCCAGAGTTTCTCCATCAAGTGTGACTGGGTTTATGTTCCCTGTATTGTATATCAGGATCTTGCTTTTTTTCTTGTGTAAGTTGAAGCCTACTACTGCGGAGGCTTTTAATACACTGGCTATCTTCACATGTACTTTTTTGTGTGTGTAGGAAAGAAGAGATAGGTCATCTGCAAAGTCCGAATCGTCTAATTGCATCCAGTCTGTCCGCTGTATTTCGTGCTTTCCCTCATGTGAAGGTCTTCATAATCCAATCAACCACCAGAAGAAAGAGAAAGGGTGAGAGTAAGCAGCCTTTCCTGACTCCGGTCCTTACTTTGAATGCTTCTGTCATCTGTCTTTCACACACGACTTAGTCCATCGTACGAATTGACGCTTTTATCAGGTACTTCATAGTGTCGAACAAGGTTCCATAATGTTCTCCTATCGACGTTGTCGGACGCTTGATCATAATAAAAGAGGTTGATGTATAACAGCGAGTTCCATCAAATTGATTGCTCAACAATGGTTAGTAGTGTCACAGTTTCGTCTGTGCACGGTCTGTTAATTGCTTTCTACTTGTTCTTCCTTTCTTGAATCTTGTTCACAGTTTCGATGGAGATCCATTGCTTATGATGTTTCTTCTTGAGGTCCAGAACCTATTGACACGCCATACTTCGTGCTTCTATGATCCCTTTCTAGTTGTCCTTAGTGGTCTCTTCTTCTTTCAGTAGACCTTGTAGGGATTGAAACCTGTTGTTGGGAGTTATCTTGAATTGATTGAGTTTGTTAGTATCTCGTAAGAAGACCATATTAAACATTTGTGTTGCTCCTTCTCCAGCCGTCCAGTGTTTGCCCAGCTTCATTTTCATCTTGGCCACAACCAAGTGGTGATCTGATGTTATGTCAGCTCCTCTCCTGGTTCTCACATCTTCCGTTGACTTTCTCAACTTTTTATTGATACAAATATGATCTATCTGGTTCTGTGTAGTGTGATCCGGTGAAATCAGTGTGACTTTCTGTATGCGTTTGAGTGGGAATATTGTGCCGCCTATGAACATAGATTTGCAAATCTCTCATTATTTTCGTTTCTCCATCTCAGTCAGTCCATGTCGTTCAGTGATATCTCCAAATCCGGTGTTGTCCATTCCGACCTTGATGTTTAGGTTTCATATCAGGTTGTTGAGATCCTTTCTTGGACACTCCACCATAACTGATTGCAGACTCTCATAAAAGTAAACCTAATCGTCGTCACTGCCTTCATTGATAAGTGCATAAAATTGGATAACAATCCCTCCTTCTTTTTTTTTTTGAAGGATGCTTAGATGATACTGGGCCCATGAAGAATTGAGTTTTCTATGTATCTACTGGTATGATATCGGCTTATTCCAATTATTTTCGTGATTATATGCCTTCGTGGGCTTTTTAGTGTACGTTACATTTGAATTCGTATTGAAAGTCTGTGGAGGTTGACTTTTGACCTTGTGATTGATTCATCTCTTTCTTACGGGTTCATCGACCGAGTCAATGTCAATGTGTCGGTTGGTTGCTAATTGATCTGAATATAGCGCACCTGAAATTTCTCTGACATTTTTGTATTTTCTTTTACACAAACGTTTGACGTTTTTTCAGTCGAATTTATTTTCATGGCTACATGCATACACTAAAGGATATTTAAAATCATGAACCATGTCGCTTCACTGTTAACCTGTTGAGCAGGGATAAATTGCGAAGCAAGATCAGTAAGAAATGAAGTTCAGGGTACTTGTTTTCCATCGGTTCTATGACAGACCAAATCATTTAGCTCGGATAATTCAACACAAACAGATATAGACATATATGTAACAAAGTAGGCTTACAATTTATGTTTTTATTGCTATTTCGCTCATTAGTAAGTAAAATAAGTAAAATAATTAAATAACAACTATTCGTGTTGATTTGTTCAACCATAAATTATGGTTCGCCTAAAGATTTGAGATTTATTTCTTGCTTATCATCAAAAACCAAAGATTATGTTAAGTCGAGAGAGGATGATGACGAAAGCCTGAGATAATTGTTTCAACATGAAAGAATATTAATATGACATCAACTTGAATCAGTTGGCTATAAGCAGTTGGTCAGACATAGTCAACCTCTGTATAATTCATTGAGCCGCCTGTCGCTCAAGTAGACTTGAGACGAAAAAGTTTTAGAATTCAAGGAATTCAAATTGGAAAAGATTACAGTTGCAATTCAGAATCAGAAAGTGATATATAAAGGGTAAATTTCTACTAAAATGTGTTGACGTTTTTCAAGTCCTTTGAGCTTTCTTTGAAATGTTGAACATCATAAGCATAAACTACGAACTCAAGTGACTTTAGGAAAGAGCTTAATATGTCAAACTATTTTTTCACATCGCGATTTGCGGCTGAATGCTTCCAAGAGTTTTTTTTGTTGTTGCGTGTGTTGATTTTAAACGATTATTTTGTCATTTTGCTGGCTTCACTACTATTTTTTGACTAGTACTTTGTGATGAATGGTTTGCGTATTTACAAGAATATATTATGAAAGACGGTCAGTTGCGTCAGTATAGAATTTTTGACAGCTGGTAAAAACGAACCTACAAATGTTTTTAGATAGGTTGTTGTGACCATTTTTCGGAGGCATAAAATTATATGAAATAATTGTTTTGATTGATGAGATAAATTTTCCCTGAAGATATAAAAATCATTACAAGGATTTCTGAGATGTTAAAATGATAATTGTGAGTATTTGAAATATAGTACAAATTAAGAATCACAGAAATAACCCATTTTAGCCAAGAAGTATTAGATGAGCACGAACAGACCTATTATATTTGGAATTCAAAATCAAGCAGTCAACAAGTACAAAGGAATCATTAGTTCATACAAACACCATAGTCAACCATATCTACCAAAACTATCCGTATGTTAATTTGGGTTTCCACCATTCGTCCAATTATAGGCCCTCATGTTAAAGAACAAAGAGTGAGTTTTCTCTTCTGGTTGACAGTAGTTCAGATTTTAATCTCGATATACAAAACATATTCAGTCGCGATAATGGCAGATAGTTTTAAAAAAAGCCGATGAGACTCTTTTGATTGCTACTCTTTGTTTAAAAAATTCGGAAGAATTAAAAATGTATTCTTTCCTTGTTTGTCTAAAACAAATTCTAGTACATTATGGTCAAGGAAATCCTTTCAAATATCCAATACTTTATTGATCGCTTAAAGTGTTATATATCATACGGAAGTATCTTTTAGTTGATATACTGTTTCTGAATCTAACATGCACGATGCACATAGTATAACCTTATACAAGTCAATGCAAACTACATCTTTATAGTTAACCTATTTGCATACAATATTTAAGGATGCTGATTAACGGGAATGTAAAAGCACATGTAACTTTTATGAAGATTTTATTGATTCGTTGTTTTACCATTTACCATATTTAGTACCTAATTATATTGGTCTCAAAAACGGGTCTAACTGTTTAGTTTTGTCTGTTATTAGCATTATTTAACTGGTAATGATAATTTATATCATATATGGCGGGTTCATTAGTGACGGATAACGGTTAGAGAAGGAAAACCCAATAATATGATATTGCTTTGTATTACAAACTAAGATTTGCCAAGGTTCCAGTCGGAAAAAACCACAAATGGAGCTAACTATGCTGAGAGTGAGGCATCAAACTAAGCTAAAGTAAAAATTGGCTGAAACTGAAAACACA